GGAGTCTGTGACTGTATCACCAGGGAATCTGTGACTGTACCACCAGGGTGTATGTGACTGTACTACCAGGGTGTCTGTGACTGTACTATGAGGGAGTATGTGACTGTATCACCAGGGAGTCTGTGACCATACCACCAGGGTGTCTGTGACTGTATCACCAGGGAGACTGTGACTGTATCACCAGGAAGTCTGTGACTGTAGCACCAGGGATTCTGTGACTGTATCACCAGGGAGTGTGTGACTGTACTACCAGGGAGTCTGTGACTGTACCACCAGGGTGTCTGTGACTGTACCACCGGGGAGTATGTGACTGTACCACCAGGGAGTATGTGACTGTATCACCAGGGAGTCTGTGACGGTAATACCAGGGAGTCTGTGACTGTACCATCAGGGAGTCTGTGACTGTACTACCAGGGAGTCTGTGACTGTACCACTAGGGAGTCTGTGACTGTATCACCAGGAGGTCTGTGACTGTACCACCAGGGTATCTGTGACTGTATCACCAGGGAGACTGTGACTGTATCACCAGGAAGTCTGTGACTGTAGCACCAGGGATTCTGTGACGGTATCACCAGGGAGTGTGTGACTGTACTACCAGGGAGTCTGTAACTGTACCACCAGGGTGTCTGTGACTACTGCACCAGGGAGTATGTGACTGTACTATGAGGGAGTATGTGACTGTACCACCAGGGTGTCTGTGACTGTACTACCAGGGAGTCTGTGACTGTACCACCAGGGTATCTGTGACTGTATCACCAGGGAGTCTGTGACTGTATCACCAGGGAATCTGTGACTGTATCACCGGGGAGTCTGTGACTGTACCACCAGGGTGTATGTGACTGTACTACCAGGGAGTCTGTGACTGTACTAGGAGGGAATCTGTGACTGTATCACCAGGGAGTATGTGACTGTACCACCAGGGAGTATGTGACTGTACTACCAGGGAGTCTGTGACTGTATCACCAGGGAGTCTGTGACTGTACTAGGATGGAATCTGTGACTGTATCACCAGGGGGTCTGTGACTGTACTACCAGGGAGTCTGTGACTGTACCACCAGGGAGAATGTGACTGTACTATGAGGGAGTATGTGACTGTACTTTGAGGGAGTCTGTGACTGTACTACCAGGGAGTCTGTGACTGTACTACCAGGGAGTCTGTGACTGTACCACCAGGGTGTCTGTGACTGTACCATCAGGGAGTATGTGACTGTACTACCAGGGAGTCTGTGACTGTACTACCGGGGAGTCTGTGACTGTACCACCAGGGTGTCTATGACTGTACCACCAGGGTGTCTGTGACTGTACTACCAGGGAGTTTGTCACTGTACTACCAGGGAGTCTGTGACTACCACCAGGGAGTCTGTGACTGTACCACACCAGGGTGTCTGTGACTGTACTACCAGGAAGTCTGTGACTGTACTAGGAGGGAATCTGTGACTGTACTACCAGGGAGTCTGTGACTGTACCACCAGGGAGTCTGTGACTGTACCACCAGGGAGTCTGTGACTGTACTACCAGGGAGTCTGTGACTGTACCACTAGGGAGTCTGTGACTGTACTACCAGGGTGTCTGTGACTGTATCACCAGGGAGTCTGTGACTGTACCACAAGGGTGTCTGTGACTGTACTGTGAGGGAGTATGTGACTGTAACACCAGGGTATCTGTGACTGTACCACCAGGGTATCTGTGACTGTATCACCAGGGAGTCTGTGACTGTATCACCACGGAATCTGTGACTGTACCACCAGGGTGTATGTGACTGTACTACCAGGGTGTCTGTGACTGTACTATGAGGGAGTATGTGACTGTATCACCAGGGAGTCTGTGACCATACCACCAGGGTGTCTGTGACTGTATCACCAGGGAGACTGTGACTGTATCACCAGGGAGTCTGTGACTGTACCACCAGGGTATCTGTGACTGTACCACTAGGGATTCTGTGACTGTATCACCAGGGAGTGTGTGACTGTACTACCAGGGATTCTGTGACTGTACCACCAGGGTGTCTGTGACTGTACTGCACCAGGGAGTATGTGACTGTACTATGAGGGAGTATGTGACTGTACCACCAGGGTGTTTGTGACTGTACTACCAGGGAGTCTGTGACTGTACCACCAGGGTGTCTGTGACTGTACCACCAGGGAGTCTGTGACTGTATCACCAGGGAGTCTGTGACTGTACTACCAGGGAGTCTGTGACTGTACTACCAGGGAGTCTGTGACTGTACCACCAGGGTGTCTGTGACTGTACTGCCAGGGAGTATGTGACTGTACTATGAGGGAGTATGTGACTGTACCACCAGGGTGTCTGTGACTGTATCACCAGGGAATCTGTGACTGTATCACCGGGGAGTCTGTGACTGTACCACCAGGGTGTATGTGACTGTACCACCAGGGAGTCTGTGACTGTACTAGGAGGGAATCTGTGACTGTATCACCAGGGAGTATGTGACTGTACCACCAGGGAGTATGTGACTGTACTATGAGGGAGTCTGTGACTGTATCACCAGGGAGTCTGTGACTGTACTAGGATGGAATCTGTGACTGTATCACCAGGGGGTCTGTGACTGTACTACCAGGGAGTCTGTGACTGTACCACCAGGGAGAATGTGACTGTACTATGAGGGAGTATGTGACTGTACTTTGAGGGAGTCTGTGACTGTACTACCAGGGAGTCTGTGACTGTACTACCAGGGAGTCTGTGACTGTACCACCAGGGTGTCTGTGACTGTACCACCAGGGAGTATGTGACTGTACTACCAGGGAGTCTGTGACTGTACTACCAGGGAGTCTGTGACTGTACCACCAGGGTGTCTATGACTGTACCACCAGGGTGTCTGTGACTGTACTACCAGGGAGTTTGTCACTGTACTACCAGGGAGTCTGTGACTACCACCAGGGAGTCTGTGACTGTACCACACCAGGGTGTCTGTGACTGTACTACCAGGAAGTCTGTGACTGTACTAGGAGGGAATCTGTGACTGTACTACCAGGGAGTCTGTGACTGTACCACCAGGGAGTCTGTGACTGTACCACCAGGGAGTCTGTGACTGTACTACCAGGGAGTCTGTGACTGTACCACTAGGGAGTCTGTGACTGTACTACCAGGGTGTCTGTGACTGTATCACCAGGGAGTCTGTGACTGTACCACAAGGGTGTCTGTGACTGTACTGTGAGGGAGTATGTGACTGTATCACCAGGGAGTCTGTGACTGTAACACCAGGGTATCTGTGACTGTACCACCAGGGTATCTGTGACTGTATCACCAGGGAGTCTGTGACTGTATCACCACGGAATCTGTGACTGTACCACCAGGGTGTATGTGACTGTACTACCAGGGTGTCTGTGACTGTACTATGAGGGAGTATGTGACTGTATCACCAGGGAGTCTGTGACCATACCACCAGGGTGTCTGTGACTGTATCACCAGGGAGACTGTGACTGTATCACCAGGGAGTCTGTGACTGTACCACCAGGGTATCTGTGACTGTACCACCAGGGATTCTGTGACTGTATCACCAGGGAGTGTGTGACTGTACTACCAGGGATTCTGTGACTGTACCACCAGGGTGTCTGTGACTGTACTGCACCAGGGAGTATGTGACTGTACTATGAGGGAGTATGTGACTGTACCACCAGGGTGTTTGTGACTGTACTACCAGGGAGTCTGTGACTGTACCACCAGGGTGTCTGTGACTGTACCACCAGGGAGTCTGTGACTGTATCACCAGGGAGTCTGTGACTGTACTACCAGGGAGTCTGTGACTGTACTACCAGGGAGTCTGTGACTGTACCACCAGGGTGTCTGTGACTGTACTGCCAGGGAGTATGTGACTGTACTATGAGGGAGTATGTGACTGTACCACCAGGGTGTCTGTGACTGTATCACCAGGGAGTATGTGACTGTACCACCAGGGAGTATGTGACTGTACTACCAGGGAGTATGTGACTGTATCACCAGGGAGTATGTGACTGTATCACCAGGGAGTATGTGACTGTATCACCAGGGAGTCTGTAGGGATTCCAGATTGGAACAGGGCCCTTTTGACCTGTGCGTGCTGGTTGATTGCATGTCGTCTACACAAACTGTGGATTGATGCTCATGATGTCAATCACTGGAGTGTAAGAGGCAGTTACATAATTTGGGTGGTCAGGCTTGGTGACTTGGGTTGATTGCATGTCATCCTACCTAGACTGCAGTGGATGCTGCTCATATGAATCAGTGGTTTGTCTTGTCCAGACTTGATTATATACCAGTAGCTGGAATATTGCCAAGTTCAGTTTAATAAAAAACATGTACCATTCAATGCAGCCTTAAACACAAAAAAACCCCAAGTGTTTGGCCCCTCTTGAGGCGCTGACTCAAAAAGTATTAGGTCTCTAACAAAGTTGTTGCCCTCCCCCAAGAGTATTAGACGGTTGGTTCGATACACCCATGTCAGAGCAGGAAATATTAAAGGATAGGTTTCACACATTGTCCCCTTTTAGGGAATTGAACTGGGGTATATATATATGGTTAAAGTATTTCTCTCATCTGACAAGACCCCAGTTCACATAACTGTGAGTATAAACATAACAAAACAAACTAAAAAATATTATATACAATTTATTACAATCTGTACATTTATTCAATTTGTACAAAGTCATAATTTTAATGATTTTTTTACACATGATCATACTGATTAGTCATACTGATAAAATCAGTGCACAGCTTCCACTCAAAAATAAATATTCATACCAGATGAAAGGAACACAATGCCATCTCATTCTGCCCATGTTGTAAGAGGCAAATGTGCTCATTTAAGTCCCAGGGGCTGCTGGCATAGAAGACAATCTTTTCAACCTGTATCGCACAGAGAGAAGACATCGTGTGTGTGATGGCACAAAACTTTTTAAAAACAAGAGACTGTCTGGCTGAAACTTCCAAGACATCAATGCCTCGTTCTCAGTGTTTCAGTGTATTATGTCTCGTGGCAGCAGCTCTTCTGCGTATTTCTCTTCACGAATATTGCGGGGGAAATACAAGGGTAATAATCCCTTGTACACATCCTGCAACATAACAGCGATACAACGTGTCAACACAATACAGCTTATGTGGACATCAGAGTGATGTGAGTCAACCTGGAGAACGTAACATTTCATTGCCATCATTTTATAAGGACAATGATTTGGTTGGATGGTTGGTTTGTTGTTTTACGCCGCAGTCAGCAATATTCTAGCTCTATGACGGCGGTCTGTAAATATTCGAGTCTGGACCAGATAATCCAGTGATTGACATCATGAGCATCGATCCACGTAATTGGGATCGATGTCAGCGAGCCTGACCACCCGATCCCGTTAATCGCCTTTTACGACAAGCATGGTAAGGGCAATGAGAGAGTGAGTATGGTTAAATGCGCTTTAAGAAATATTCCAGCAATATCACAGCACTGGACAGCATAAATGGGCTTCACACATTGTACCCATGTGGGAAATTGAACCCTGGTCTTCGGCGTAACGATCGAACGCTTTAACCACAAGGTTAACCAACCGGACAATGAAATTGTGAGGTCTGTTTAGGGTAATAATCAATGTCTGATCATGCTGATGTCAAAGGGACAAGATCAGATTTACATTGGTTCCATGTGCTTTTCACAGCCAATACAAAAAAAGGGGAAAAGATGTTGACAAATTGGCAATCTCAATACACTGATTCAAATTATTCAAACACCACCTTATTTTCCTGTAATCTCATACATCAGAGGTATATCAATCTAACTGCATGATTACTTAAATTACAGACACATTGCCTCAATTTAATACTAGGCACACAGTATTATTTCTATACATTAGTGATGTTATTGTCCTGAATTTAGTATTGCAATAATGATTCATGTATTGCCATATGTACCAAAACCCAACCTATTTTACAACTTCGTAATCGTCCACCATTTTGTTGGATGCGCCATGATCACAACCCATGCGTAAGTGACACATTATATGAAGGATGCTGGTCACGAATAGTTTCACTTTTTCGATAACAGGAAACAGATCCTAATTTCATAATTTTTATTTGACTTGTCACTTAGGTAAACTTTTCCAACAAGACAAAGACATTCTGATTTAAAAAACCCACAATGCACCAGAATTTTCCAAATGTATTGTGATACGTTTTCAATAGTATTTCATATCCTGGTATCCTGGTAATACCCCCCACCTCTACTAGACAAACGGACAACACTGATTTGGACTTACGCCCCCAGATCCCATCTTCCCGAGGATCTGCTACTGGTTTAATGATCATTTTTGATGGTTTTTGTAAATACAGTAGAACATGGATATAACGAACACGGATATAGCGAACAAACGGATATAACGAACTGTTAAAATATCCCCGATTTATCTCTTATAGAATATCGTATAAATTTATGTATATAACAAACTCTCTACAGCGAACCAACAGATACAGCGAACTGATATCTGATCACCGACAAGCCGATCTATCACTAATTAGTGACGTGTATAGCGAACTGAGAAATCGCACTCAGTGTCAAGTGTCACTGGCTGTACGCAATCAGCAGCGAATCAACACAATGGTGGCGAATCAATACAATCAGCGGTGACGGATCAACCTTGTTAAATTTGCATTGTGTTTATCTTACCTGTTCATGTAATCTTGTCTGTAAACAAACATTAAACATATAAATTTTACGAGCTGCCAATCACCAAGACGTAGAGGACGCCCTCTTCAAATGGTTTCAAGCCGTGAGAAGCGAAAACATTCCTCTTAGTGGTCCGTTACTGCAGACCAAAGCTGACGAACTTGCAGTGAATTTAGAGTTTAGACCATGAAGATTTCAGTGTAACACTGCAATGACGTGTATTGTGTTTTGTCTTATCCAAGATGGCGGACGTTTCTGAGCGAAAACGTGTATAACGAACAACGGATATAACGAACTGATTTCTCTGGTCCCTTGTAGTTCGCTATATCCGTGTTCTACTGTATTGGAACTCACCACTGTCTCATCTGAACACACGAACACAACAGTGTCTATGTCTTCACCAAACTTCTCCAGGAAGCGTCGGGTAGTTCCTGAGGACACAAATAAAGACACAAACGGATGAGTTTTACCAATTGAAGGCACCATCCGCTGTAGAATAACCCAACCTTTACCATCAGTAACTGTCATGATAGTTCCAGCCAGGGATCTGGAAGCCAGTCGGTGTGCCGTACTTCTCTGATTGTGAACTTCCAATGGAATTGAGACAATTACAGATTCTATATTTTGACAAGACTAAACACTGCATGTGTCAAAGCCATGAACTTCTGGTTATTTTGAGGTTCATGGGAAAGAAATACAGCTTCCTTTTGTTTTTGTTTTTTCTTTTTCTCTCAGTATTTATTTAATAAATGAACTAGGTCAAGTCAAAAATACAAAAAGGCCAGGCTTTGTATATTTTTCTTATTGAAGTGTATCATAATATTTCATGATGCACAAGGCTGTGTTGCGATAGTTATGACGATAAATTGTATGATTCTAAAATTTTGAATACAGAAGCAATTTGAAACACCAATGTATGAATTGGAGGTCATAAATGGAACAAAACAAGATGCTAGTACAACTTGATCATTACACCACTGCCATGCATATCATGTGACAATGGTGACAAAACGCATTCTGACATCAGAGCAGACTGGCCAAATGCAAGCCTTTCAGTGTGCTTTACATATTGTTTTGCATAATTATACCATGCTTACGAATGGCGCAGCAGAGGTCGTGAACTAGTCTAGATTTCTGCTCTTCATCCGGGTACTCACTGGGAAAAAACAATAACAAAGGCAACAACCAGTCCCGGGGAATTGCTTTAGATCAGTGCCCCTTTAAACTCACCTATTTCAGCCATAACGTGACGATCACCTCTCAATAAACTTAATATGTCCACCTTGTAGTGAGTGAGTTGGGGATAATGCCGCTTTCAACAGTATTCCAGTAATATCACTGCTTGTCAGCTCAATGTGAGAGGAAAGCCCGAAGTGATGCAGGTCTCAGACGTTTACCACTTCTGTGCTGACGAATCTAGAAACATAATCGGGGCGAACCAGGATTCAAACCCACAATCATAGGTTTCTGGCGTGCCCAAGGGACGCAACTCTGCACAGCAAATTGCGGTGCCTTAGAGGACTGGGCCATGCCGCCTGTCCACCTTGTAGCATCATGGACATCCTTGTCACCTGTGTGATCTAAGATTGGGATTCTTCTGGTGTTGAACATAATATATGTTACAGTCAATGTGTAAATGTGTGTTACTTATTCAATTTATAAATACCAAAACAATTCAGTCATATATACAATATTTTTTCCCCAATATAACATCATGATAATGAATTCCAAACATTTTTATGTTCTATTTCATCACCCAGTGACTGCAAATGGTAGGATTAAAAGAACACGAAAGTCAATGTTTATTTTTTTTTAAATGGCGTCTCATACCAGCATAATACCAGGATAATTAGACTATTGTGATCAGGTCTCTGTTTTGTGATGTTTCTAAGCCCTTTTGAACTCCTTAATAACTTTTATTCAATCTGACAGAATTATTTTTCGTAAACTGACTTAATTATTTTGGGTTTTGTAAATTGTTATAGTGAAAATTTCAGTCATTTTACACATTGACAGTAACATATATATCTGTGGTAAATAGAATAATATTTCAAGAAAAACAACACTTTGCAACAGTTTCATCATGAATGAGATTTATATCCCAAATAAAGGTCACATGGTATTATTATATGCAGGCTGTGCACAGATATTACAAATAACATCCCAAATGAATTGTCTGAATAAATAAAAGTGATTCCATGGCATTTGATTGACTAACCAAGCAATGTTTTGCATTGGCCTTCCATAAACCTAAAAAAAAAGAAAAAAGGCCACACCCATTAACAGACACTAACTGTTTTCTGATTGGTTGACAACAGAGGGGGCAGGGCTTGTATTGCATTATTGTGCTGATCAACGTCATGGACTTTGTATGGCTGTTTATAGTTTCTTTGTGTTATTGATTAAATAAGCAGACTAGGAAGTTATTATCGTTGACTTCGCCTGAGACTGATATAGTGTATCCATATCTCCTTCATACATCAGGAATCACATACCACTGACAACAAAATGGCTGTCAAAACAAGCTAAACTGTGTGACTGAGCTAATTAATTGTCAGGATTGTACTAAGGTCATAATGCAGCCCTCTAAGTTCGATTTTTATTCGGGAGTAAGTGGCTCCTAACATGAATATTTCAGGAGCCAAACCTAAGTTTGGGGGAGCCAATCTTTTTTCCCAAGGAGCCAGACTGAGAGTCTGAGATGGGGCATATTTCACTTGAGGTAGGTATGTTCACCCAGGTTTCATTGTGTGAAATCTAAAGATGGGTATTCAACTGTAATAGACATGTACACTAAATAATAATGTAAATATTTCCTTTTTGTTCAATATCAGTAAGTTCATGCAAATACAACAGGGTACAAAATAACTGAGCTCTTTATGAAAACCCTGTAATTGTATTAACCATATATAAAGAACAGTATGATATATAACTCTAATAAATAATTATGTATACAAGCCTTCCAGATCTCTCCGTTATTATCATTAAACATATTTTATTGTCCAAAAAGACAAAGAGATTGGGCACAAGATAAGTCCCGGAAACCCGTCTCAAAACCTTTGGTCAGTGATCTTTCCAGTTCTGCGCTTCCCCGCTATGGAACAAACTACCATCTGATCTTAAGCTGTCGCCATTGCTTTCATCCTTTAAGGCTCCTCTAAAAATACACCTTTTCAGACAACACTATCAACTCTACTCCCCTTTCATCTGCATTATTTGCTAAAACTATGTAGCGCCATGAGCATTAACTTGGTGAATGGAATCTGGCGCAGTATAAATGGATTTATTATTATCATTTTATTATTATACGACATTGGCCATGCAAACACGAGTTCATAAACAACATCTCAAACAGATATTGTCACCATTTATGTTTACTTAGGTTTAGGTCGCCAAGACGTGAGCAGTAGATAGATTTAGGTTGCAATCATAGATATCAGTTGGATTTGCGACCAACATGGCCGCTACTTAGAGCACTGTTATGTGAGACACTAATCCTCAAACCCAGGCATATATGTTGTGTGGGGAATACAACTTAATTTCCAGGCCGTTTATCGTGGACACATGGCATGACGACCACCATCCACAGCCACCGTGTTGCCGGTCATGAATGATGCACTGTCAGAGGCCAGGAAGGCGATGAGTTTGGCCACTTCACTGACCTCTCCTGCTCGACCCAGGGCATGGGTTGTCTTGCAATGTTCCAGGAACTGGAAAGAGAACAATAACGCTCAATTGTGTATAATTCTGGAATAAATTTGAAATGTTCAGACAAGGAAACGATTGGTTTCTGTGTCATTCATGAGCTCATGTCTAGTCTAACTTAAGATACTTCACAATTCCAACACAATCAGGTGTTTATCCTAAGGCAACAGGTGAACCAAACAGTGACTTGTGGAGTCCTGCACAATTATGATCATTTCAAGAATATTTCGAAATAACTACATCACCTTGGTCTCTTCCTAACCGACACTTTTGCACATACAGCTTCCCTCACAGCTTTATACTGCAGAGTCACAGAATCACAGCTTTATACCATGTGGAGTCTCAGCTTGATACCATGTAGAGTCCTAGACAAAATCTGTGATTTCACAGAACGTTTTGCAGAAAAAGTACTAACCGCTGAACTGCAGAAAAATCATGGAATTTGCCTTTTTTAAATCAATCAATACACTAATTTTCCTTATTATCAAGCTTTTCTATTTCTATTTTGCATTCTAAAGATGCCCAAACATTTAACACACGATTCAAACATACAAAATATGTATTCTGCAATAAAAACATATTTGAAAAAAATAATTCTCACTTTTTAATGTTCTTGTGGTATTATGACCACATAAGCTATGCTGACATCTTACCATAAGTAAATATCAGTGACACTATGCATATTTATTTGTATAATTGATCCAATGATAACTGTTAATTATGACAATTTGTGGAATCATTTTGTTTCGGTTTTGGATTCAAGTTTTAGAAAAATGAGTTGGGGGAAATAGCTATGTTTTTACTGCTGAATTGACCTCAGAAGTTTATAATTTGAGCTGAAGAATTTTCGTTATTTGACTGCAGAATTTGTCTGGGACTCATGTAGAGTCATACCTTTATATCATGTAGAATAACAGCATTATACCATGTAGAATAACAGCTTTATATCAGAATCACAGCTTCATACCATGTGGAGTCACAGCTTTATACTACGTGGAGTCACAGCTTTATACCATGTAGAATAACAGCTTCATACCATGTAGAGTCACAGCTTTATACTACGTGGAGTCACAGCTTTATACCATGTAGAATAACAGCTTCATACCATGTAGAGTCACAGCTTTATACTACGTGGAGTCACAGCTTTATACCATGTAGAATAACAGCTTCATACCATGTAGAGTCACAGCTTTATACTACGTGGAGTCACAGCTTCATACCATGTGAAGTCACAGCTTTATACTACGTGGAGTCACAGCTTTATACCACAGTACAACAGCTTTATACAATGTAGAGTCACAGCTTTATACCATGTAGAGTCACAGCTTTATACCATGTAGAGTCACAGCTTTATACCATGTAGAGTCACAGCTTTATACCATGTGGAGTTGCAGCTTTATACCATGTAATCACAGCTTTATACCATATTATCACAGCTTTATACCACAGAGTGACAGCTTTATGCCATGTAGAGTCACAGCTTTATACCATGTAGAGTCACAGCTTTATACCATGTAGAGTCACAGCTTTATACCATGTAATCACAGCTTTATACCATGTAGAGTCACAGCTTTATACCATGTAGAGTCACAGCTTTATACCATGTGGAGTTGCAGCTTTATACCATGTAATCACAGCTTTATACCATATTATCACAGCTTTATACCACAAAGTGACAGCTTTATGCCATGTAGAGTCACAGCTTTATACCATGTAGAGTCACAGCTTTATACCATGTAATCACAGCTTTATACCATGTAGAGTCACAGCTTTATACCATGTAGAGTCACAGCTTTATACCATGTGGAGTTGCAGCTTTATACGATGTAATCACAGCTTTATACCATATTATCACAGCTTTATACCACAGAGTAACAGCTTTATGCCATGTAGAGTCACAGCTTTATACCATGTAGAGTCACAGCTTTATACCATGTAGAGTCACAGCTTTATACCATGTAGAGTCACAGCTTTATACCATGTAGAGTCACAGCTTTATACCATGTAATCACAGCTTTATACCATGTAGAGTCACAGCTTTATACCATGTAGAGTCACAGCTTTATACCATGTAATCACAGCTTTATACCATGTAGAGTCACAGCTTTATACCATGTAGAGTCACAGCTTTATACCATGTAGAGTCACAGCTTTATACCATGTAGAGTCACAGCTTTATACCATGTAATCACAGCTTTATACCATGTAGAGTCACAGCTTTATACCATGTAGAGTCACAGCTTTATACCATGTAGAGTCACAGCTTTATACCATGTAGAGTCACAGCTTTATACCATGTGGAGTTGCAGCTTTATACCATGTAATCACAGCTTTATACCATATTATCACAGCTTTATACCACAGAGTAACAGCTTTATGCCATGTAGAGTCACAGCTTTATACCATGTAGAGTCACAGCTTTATACCATGTAGAGTCACAGCTTTATACCATGTAGAGTCACAGCTTTATACCATGTGGAGTTGCAGCTTTATACCATGTAATCACAGCTTTACACCATATTATCACAGCTTTATACCACAGAGTAACAGCTTTATGCCATGTAGAGTCACAGCTTTATACCATGTAGAGTCACAGCTTTATACCATGTGGAGTTGCAGCTTTATACCATGTAGAGTCACAGCTTTATACGATGTAGAGTCACAGCTTTATACCATGTAGAGTCACAGCTTTATACCATGTAGAGTCACAGCTTTATACCATGTAGAGTCACAGCTTTATACCATGTAGAGTCACAGCTTTATACCATGTAATCACAGCTTTATACCATGTAGAGTCACAGCTTTATACCATGTAGAGTCACAGCTTTATACCATGTAGAGTCACAGCTTTATACCATGTAGAGTCACAGCTTTATACCATGTGGAGTTGCAGCTTTATACCATGTAATCACAGCTTTATACCATATTATCACAGCTTTATACCACAGAGTAACAGCTTTATGCCATGTAGAGTCACAGCTTTATACCATGTAGAGTCACAGCTTTATACCATGTAGAGTCACAGCTTTATACCATGTAGAGTCACAGCTTTATACCATGTGGAGTTGCAGCTTTATACCATGTAATCACAGCTTTACACCATATTATCACAGCTTTATACCACAGAGTAACAGCTTTATGCCATGTAGAGTCACAGCTTTATACCATGTAGAGTCACAGCTTTATACCATGTGGAGTTGCAGCTTTATACCATGTAATCACAGCTTTATACCATGTAGAGTCACAGCTTTATGCCATGTAGAGTCACAGCTTTATACCATGTGGAGTTGCAGCTTTATACCATGTAATCACAGCTTTATACCATATTATCACAGCTTTATACCACAGAGTGACAGCTTTATGCCATGTAGAGTCACAGCTTTATACCATGTGTAGTTGCAGCTTTATACCATGTAATCACAGCTTTATACCATATTATCACAGCTTTATACCACAGAGTAACAGTTTTATGCCATGTAGAGTCTCAGCTTTATACTTCGTGGAGTCACAGCTTTATACCATGTAATTACAGCTTTATACAATGTAGAGTCACAACTTTTAATTCACATAGGGTCACAGCTTTATACCACAGTACAACAGCTTTATACCATGTAGAGTCACAGCTTTATACCATGTGGAGTTGCAGCTTTATACCATGTTATCACCGTGTTATACTTTGTAGAGTCACAGTTTTATGTACGCAAACTTTCACTTGAAATAACTCCATGGACTTGAATTTGTGGCACACAAATCATGGTTGATTGGTGAACAAATAATTCATTCAAACCAAGCAGCAAGCAAAGTGAGATGCTACCTCATTTTTTAACGGCGACAAATGACAATCCGGGAAAGCTCAAATCAGGACAGATCAACCTTCCAATAGAGGATAAACCTATTTACATAGAAACAATGTCTCAGTTTCAGACAAGGCAAGTTACAACATCTCGGCACACACTGAAATGGGCCGCAGTCCCTGTCGTCTCGTCTCTCCTTGCAGCTCCCTCGCCCGTCTTCTCCCTGAGTGTGAGTGAGTTGGGTTTAACGCCGCTTTTAACAGTATTCCAGTTATAGCACGGTGTGTCAGCTTAATGTGGGAGGAAAGCCTGAAGTGATGCCGGTCTCAGACGTTTACCACTTCGGTGAGACCCACGAGCACGGGTATGGTGCTGACAAACCTAGAAACATAATCGGGGCGAACCGGGATTCCAACCCACTATCATAGGTTTCTGGCGTGCCCAAGGGACGCAACTCTGCACAGCGAATCGGGCGCCTTAGAGGACTGGGCCACCCGTGCCCCCTCTACTCCCTGAGTGAAGGCTGACCACCTAATCTCAATGTAATAGATGCTTGAGCTCTTGGGCCAGTCAGATGTCACCAGAAATTTCACTCAAAATGACCATCACAGGACATTCCTTGCTATGTCCATTCAGAAAGGCAGTATATTTTCTATATAGATTTGGAAGCCTTGACCCTCATTGGCTGATTAGAAAGTCCACCTGACACGACATCCTACAGATGGTTTGTCAGATCTTCATGCAGGCAGGTATTGCATCAGAATAAGCGATTTGATTTGAATGAGACTGAGCCTTCACATGATGCGTCGGCCGTGAGGACAACTTACCTGTGCATACTTTTCCTCGCTCATGCCTCCTCTTTTATGTACCTCTGTGACTATCACACCCGGACTGTAAAAAATGGATGAAAAACTAAGCATTAAAATCTCTTCCTCCTCATTGGTCCTGTTATACCGTATTCGACATAATAAGCGCCCAGGGAGAAAATATATTTTTGAGTTCAGGGAATCACAGACAAGATCCTAAAATCATAAACCTGTATTGTCATCCCCTCAGTGTAAATGAAGTCAGTTTTCTGAAAAAAGGTTTAAAGTTCACACCAACACCTACGCCAAATCCGGAGGCTATCAAAGCAGGGTTAAAGAACTTTACTTGAAAACTGAGACTGGTGGAATATTTTGACCCCGAAGAGGACAACGACGTTGAATGGGATGATAGCGCAAGCAATATGAACAATGGTCAAAGTCTAGTGAAAAATCAATCCAGATTTTACCACCCTGTGGGAGAGAAAAATATTTGGAAGACTTTTGTGATAGACTTGAAAGTGCTCCTATTCATGTAAAACAAACAAAATAAAACCTATCTGAATGTGAATTGAAAGGCCTTACTAATCTAAAAAATAATAGACATCGTTATTAAAGAAGCCAATAAAGGAGGGGCTATTGTTATTATGAATAAATCATTTTATCAAAGAAAGATATTGTTTATTTTCAATAATGATCAATATTATAACAATTCTAGTGAAAGAGAAGAAAAATCTGTCCAGGATAATGTTAAGAAATTGTTAGATAAGAATGAACATGAAATTCTAGACAAAGAAAATGACTATCTAACCAATTTTGAACCTAAGACCGCTAATTTTTATGGCCTACATAAAAGTAAATGTATTCAAAAGGAAATTAATGATAAAATTGTGACATTATTTCTATTGAAAATCCCAAGGATTTGCCATTTAGACCTTTTGTGTGAGGACCCGTATTCAGCGTCTTAGCAGTTTCATAGATATTAGTCTTAAGCCCTAATGTAAACATGTAAAAAGTTTTCTCAGGGATGACATTGATTTTTTATGTAAATTACCTACTGAAGTACCGGAAGGATCTATGTTAGTTAGTTTTGATGTTGTTAGTTTGTATAGTAATATTGAAACTGAGCTTGGACTGGAAGCTATCAGATACTGGCTAAAAGAATACTGCCATGAAATACTCGTACCAGATAGATTTTCGGATGAGTTTATCATTGATGCATTGAAGTTGGTTATTACCAATAACATGTTTTATTTTGATGGATCTTATTATTCACAAAAGAAAGGAGTAGCCATGGGTACTAAGGTAGCCCCTACTTATGCAACCCTTGTGTTGGGATTTTTTAGAGAATATGTTTTATGATAAGGTGAGAGATACTCTTGGTAAATCTATGAAAGAACAAATTGAACATTCATGTAAAAGGTTTTTAGATGACTGATTTATCATATTAAAAACCAGTGAAAGTCAACTTACAGCTATCCATGAAATTCTAGATTCACTTAATGCGTCACTCAATTTCACAATGGAAGAATGCGAATCCAGTTTAACCTTTCTGAGCAACTAAAACTGAGAGAAATGTCTGAAAAAAACAAACAATATGGGGAATAATTTAATTCTAGTATCTACCTTCAACCCTAATCATGAAAAAACATTGTCCGTGGTTCAGCGATACCTGCCTATTTTGAATTAAAGTATTAACATGGAGAAGATATTGAACAAATACAAAATTACAAAGTCCAAAGTACAAAGTTCAGTCCAAATTACAAAGGACACTAAACTTACTGTAAAACAAAATATGACTTGTGATAGTAGAAATGTTATCTCCTTCATCGTTTGTAGTGGATGCAATGAAAAGTATATTGGAAGGACAGACCTTAAATTAAAAAGAAGAATGAATCTAGATACATTTAGATACATGTGGAAGCGGCTACTTTTTAGTATTCCCGCTATATTAGCTAAATTTTTATCATGAACCTACATTATTTCAAAAAGAGCAACATTTCATTCATAAATACGTACCTAAGTTAAATGTAAAGGCGCAAGTTATTTGTCCATTGTCACCTTGGTATTGTGACGTCATAGTTCTCCTAAATGTTATGACGTCAAGTATCTATATGTTACAACTTCATGTCCGTTATGCAGTTATGGCCTGATGAGACTCGTACGTGGTACGAGTTGAAAGCGCTAGCCTATTAAAACTGTGTTCTATCTTACTCCACTTATTTAATTATTACTATATTGTGCCTGAGAGTTAGATTTTATCGGCCTCTGAGCAGGTCTAGATAAATCCCTGTATATACATACATGTATATCAGCCTCTGAGCAGGTCTAGATAAATCCCTGTATATATACATGTATATCGGCCTCTGAGCAGGTCTAGATAAATCCCTGTATATATATACATGTATATCAGCCTCTGAGCAGGTCTAGATAAATCCCTGTATATATACATGAATATCAGCCTCTGAGCAGGTGTAGATAAATCCCTGTATATATATATACATTTTTACATGTATATCGGCCTCTGAGCAGGTCTAGATAAATCCCTGTATATATATACATGTATATCGGCCTCTGAGCAGGTCTAGATAAATCCCTGTATATACATACATGTATATCGGCCTCTGAGCAGGTCTAGATAAATCCCTGTATATATATACATGTATATCAGCCTCTGAGCAGGTATAGATAAATCCCTGTATAAACATACAGGTATATCAGCCTCTGAGCAGGTCTAGATAAATCCCTGTATATATATATATACATGTATATCGGCCTCTGAGCAGGTCTAGATAAATCCCTGTATATACATACATGTATATCGGCCTCTGTAATGATTGTGCTGGAGATAATAAGGATGACCATTGAAATCATGATGATGATAACTTATGAAAACACAGACTTACTTGACACAGTTAACTCGGACTTGTTTAGGAGCCAATTCTGTGAAAAACAAGAAAATGTGCATAAAATATACTAAACACACAAACTGAAAAAGCAACCCTCCTTTAAATAATAGTGAAAGAGAAATTTAGTTCCTAAACTTTGTTGAACCAGGAATAGGCCTACTCACCCAGAGCAACACACCTTGTCATCTGGTCGATGGCGCTCTTTGACATGCAGTATGATAAGACACCAGGAAACTGAAATTTCAAATGTCAATAAATATTGCGCTGATTTTTAGTTTTCATTTATTATGTTAGGGTTTGGAGAATCCTTGAAAGTATGTTGAGTGACAGCTGATGTACATACAAAGTTTCATCAAGACTGACTGACTGACTGAGTATGGTTTTACGCCGCTTTTAGCAATATTCTAGCAATATCTTGGCGGGGGACACCAGAAATAGTTTCATCAAGAAAGAGTGATGGGTTTAAGAGTTACACTGGAATAGAAATGTGATGGACAGAACCTGCTTCTAATATTCCAGCCAAAATTTGTTTGTGTTGGGATTAAAATGAGTTTTGCCTTAGCTGTGGCTTCCTTATATGCAGGGGCGGTCGGGTAGCCTAGTGGTTAAAGTGTTAGCTCGTCACGCCGAAGACCCGGGTTCGATTCCAGACATGGGTACAATGTGTGAAGCCCATTTCTGGTATCCCCCGCCATGATATTGCTGGAATATTGCTTAAAGCGGCGTAAAACCGAACTCACTCACTCACTTATATGCAAATTGTGTGAGTGGCAGAGCAGAACATGCTTCCTCTTATCACCAACACCTGGTGTCATTACTTAGGTTCAGTGATTTATTCACATGATTTTCATCATTATTTTGTCTCTTACACCTGATGGAATTTCTTTTGGCAGATAATTGAGACTGATTATTCTCTACATGTGGTCGAACAAGAGATCAGTACACTTATGTAGCCTGCTGGTTTTAATGAGATTGGAGATATCTATAAATGTGAAACAACATCACATACTGCTCGGAGTCCTGTGACGCTGGAGACATTGACGATGTTGCCTTTAGTCTTCACCAGGTGCGGCACACACAACATTGTTAAATGGTAAATGGATCTGAAACAGAAGTGGGGGAGGGTGCCTTATGTCACATATCATCACTGCGTGGGTACACACAGATATGGCTGGGCTAAGACTGCATGAGCTGACCACTTGGCTACTTTGATCTTTTTTTACCAGATATTATAAAGATTGGCATGGTGTTGCATGGTGTAGATCATCGCTTCCAAGATTATTGCACTTATATAGCGACATGCTTTTGCACTAGTCTGAAGACCCGTGAAGATCCTGGGTAGAATAGGTCGTCAGCAACCCATGCTTGCCGTAAAAGGCGACTATGCTTGTTGTAAGAGGTGACTAACAGGATTGGATGATAAGGCTCGCTTACAAATACCGAAAATCTAATACAGTTTCCACTGTTTGAAGATGAAATATCTCTGATAATTACCAAAATCTCATCATATGCCAAAGAATCTCAGAATCTTGGACCAGAGGAGATTTTCTCTCATAGGTAATAAACATTTCCAGGATAATCCCTGAAATACTATTGAAATAGTGTTTTAACTACCTGTACAGCAACTCTATTACAATAGTTAATACAATGTCAACAATAGTCTCATAAATTGGAGGGGCGGTTGGGTAGCCTAGTGGTTAAAGCGTCCGCTCGTCGGGCCGAAGACCCGGGTTCGATTCCCCACATGGGTACAGTGTGTGAAGCCCATTTCTGGTGTGCCCCGCCGTGATATTGCTAGAATATTGCTAAAAACGGTGTAAAACCTTACTCACTCACTCACTTAAATTGGAGTCTCACCTGACATTGATGTTGAATATCCTGTCAAATTGTTCTAAACTTGTTGTTTCAATGCTGCCAGATTCCAGGATTCCGGCACTGTTGACCTGGACGAAACAAAACACAAACCTCTCTGACAAGGACCCTGTTGGACATGGCTGACAAAATAAGCTTGGCTCAGTACCCTGCTGTAGTTTCACCAGCTCAGTTATAGCTACAAGCTAATAATCATACATTTTCATCCGTACTTGATACCGGCCTGTAATAATATAGAACCATATTGACACCTGATATAGGACTATATTGATACTACCGGTAGCCTACCCTATATTGATAATGGATATGTTTGATTAAAAAATATACTCACTGGCAAAAGAAACGCGAATACCAAATATGTTGGTAAATATATGATGAATTACTCATATTCAAGAAATATAAGATCCGTTTGATGCACAAACAAATTTACTGGTATGTTGTGTGAACCGATGCTCATAAACGCATCACATGTGATGCCATAGACCCATGACTCGAGATGCACCATTTGTCTCTTGCAGGATTAGCGTGTACAGTTTCAAATTCAAGGGCAGCATATCGTGACAAGAATAAAGACACTCTGTGGTAACACTTGACTGATTGTTAGTTTTGTCATGAATTGGTACAAATTGGAAACATCTCTTCTTAACACATACTTCTCTATATGTTTCTATGGTTCACGTTTCTTTTGGCGGTGAGTATATGCTCTTAAGTTGGTTGTTTAACGCCGCACTCAGTAATATTCCAGCTATATGACGGCGGTCTGTAAATAATCGACTCTGGACCAGACAATCCAGTGATTGATATCATGATCATCGATCCACGCAATTGGATGAGATGACATGCATCAACCAAGTCAGCGAGCCTGACCACCCGATCCTGTTAGTCGCCTTTTACAACAGGCATAGTCACCTTTTACGGCAAGCATGGGTTGCTGAAGACCTATTCTACCCCGGAATCTTCACGGGTCATATGCTCTTTAGAATAATATCTTTGATTGCATTAATTATCTGCAATTTATCTGCTACTGACCAATATGTCCAGTCTGCCTGCAGCTGCGATGGCTTCATCCACGATACGCTGTGTGTCCTCTTCCTTAGACAGATCACCAATCAGGAGGACGGGCTGTGGAGGACACGTGACTTTAATTCTAAACATGTTAAATGTGTTAAAAGAGTAAACATGTTCAGATTTTGGGGATGTTGTGTTGAGGTGGTGTTTTGGTCGTGACATGACAGCTCATTTCACATGTTTAGACCCCAAACATGTTTAGATAGAACATATCAAATGTGTATTCCGCTTTGAATTAAAAAAACACTCCTAAACACGTCTAGATGTAAACATAATATGTTTCATACTGTTTACATTTTAAACAGGTTTTTTACAGTGTAGGTATTGGATTCTACATTATTTCTGGAAGATAGCTTTGCTTAGAATCAGGGAAGATGGTGGGAATCTGTTGACTTCCTATCAGACTCAGTACTGCCCACGCCATCCATGGTGCCTCTCCAGCAAATTGTCCCACTGTTCCAACTTACTTGCAACCACAGTCAGACCCCATTATGACAAATGTACTGTAGTGAGTGAGTTTGGTTTTACGCCACTTTTAGCAATATTCCAGCAATATCCCGGCGGGGGACACCAGAAATGGGCTTCACACATTGTACCCATGTCGGGAATCGAACCCGGGTCTTCGGCGTGATGAGCGAACGCTTTAACCACTAGGCTACCCGACCGCCCCACAAATGTACTGTAACTTGAACCTACTCTCCAGACCACCTCACTATATACCGTATTTGACGTAATAAGCGCCCCGCTCTAATAAGCGTCTACGGCGATATTTTCTAATAATTGGCTAGTGAACAATCCCTATTAGCACCCCTTCCGATTGATCAATGTACACAAGACTTATTTATTTGTGTATAATATGCACTCGAATGTTATATGCACCCTTAATTATGGGCAGTTAAATCCTCGAAAATATATCTATGGTGTCTAATACACACAGATTCTTTTACATCATTTCAGGCAGTCAGCATAAACCACAAAATTTACAATCTTTCAACTCTGTTTTTTATCTCACCAAAATCACATTCTAATAAGAGCCCCCTATTTCTAATTTTGAGATCGCCCTGGGTGCTTATTACATCGAATACAGTAAATATGTTTATATTTGACCGCTTATCGATAATTGGAGATTAACATACACAGCGCTATGGAACCTTGGAATTTGTGCAAACTTTGACTTTGCTATGAAATTTAGTACCCTTATCTCGAAGTTGGTATTTGTCACATTAACAGTTCTGATAGGTGCAAATAAGCATTTTGCATAAGAATGAGCAATTCTCCTAGATATATCTAGCACCTCTCCTCACACAATCATCTAACCATTCCTGAAAAATAACGGATCGCTCAAACAAAAGAATTATGTCACAGATGTGTCATAAGCACTGGTACACTCCATGATACAGGCATCACGGTCATGATCGGTAACATCATCATCTACGGTTTCAGCAAACTCATTTCCAATAAACAGCGGTTAGTAACTTTAGCGGCAAATATACTAATAGATGCCAATTGAAAAGCTCATAATGCCTTGTCAATGTACATATCTTAAACAGTCGCTGATTGGTGACTGAAAAAATGGTGCTTTTTTACCATGCTAGGTTTTACAAACAAAATGGCTTCCTGGATAGGGAGCTGCATGCAGATGCAGACGGGTATATTATCATTCATATAATTTTAAAGGATTTACAGGGACTGTTACGCACATGTCAGGAAACAGGTGGGTAAAAATGATTTGAATACCCAATCAAAATCAAACCCGTGGGTAAATTATCCAAATACACAAAAGCTCATCTAGAGCTCTGTACAATTGCCATCTGTAGTGAGTGAGTGAGTGAGTGAGTGAGTGAGTGAGTGAGTGAGTGAGTGAGTGAGTGAGTGAGTGAGTGAGTGAGTGAGTGAGTGAGTGAGTGAGTGAGGACGCAACTTTGCACACAGCGAATTTTGGTACCTTAGACGACTGGGCCAACAGCCATGCTTATGTCATCACATCATCAAACTATTGCCAGTTAGTTTCAAACAATGAACATCACATTCTCCTTGTTGGGATTACTGCAGTTGAACATGTACAGTCAGGGAACAGATACACTCACATGTAATAAATGTAATATGTAGGATGCTATGACTTGGACGAACATGTCTAACTGTTTGCTACATGACATGGATGCTGTATCATCTATACGTGACTTGATGCCTCGGATATCCCACACACACATATTCATTTACCTGGTCGCATAATATGCTGTAGTAGTTCATCATAATCAGCAAGTGTTCCTCACGCAATATTGGAATCTGTAATCGCCTAAATGTAGTTCATGGATATCATGGGTATTCCAATGTATTAACATGATTAATAGTCTTCACCCTACACTTGGATCCCTGGTCACCTAATATGTTACACGCAGTAGTTCATGGGTATTCCAATGTGTTAAAATGACCTTCACCTTATACTGGAGACGAATTATGGAGCCACTATAGAATATGATCTCCACTGCTTTTATTCTAGGATCCAAGGGCTAAGGAGTTGGGGGTAACCTACTCCAACCTGACCACAACTAACTCTAAGGATCAAAGAGGCATGCGCTAGGATCCAAGGGCTAAGGATATGGGGGTAACCTACTCCAACCCTACCACACCTAACTCTAAGGATCAAAGAGGCATGCGCTAGGATCCAAGGGCTAAGGAGTTGGGGGTAACCTACTCCAACCCTACCACAACTAACTCTAAGGATCAAAGAGGCATGTGCTAGGATCCAAGGGCTAAGGAGTTGGGGGTAACCTACTCCAACCTGACCACACCTAACTCTAAGGATCAAAGAGGCATGCGACAATAGAGGGCTATATTTGTAACAGACCAAGATAGTTAATGCTTTACAAAAGACTTAAAAAACATATTGTTAAGCAATTTTCATAAAGGTTAATAAAATCTATGTTGTACTGAAATTATAGAATTTGTAAAATGGACACGTAACTGCAGAGATGGCTGAATTTGCTCAGGTAATTCATATATTTCATATTTCATGGATCCCCTTCACCTCATACTTGATCCGGGTTAGAATAGGGATTCTGCAACCCACGCTTGCCGTAAAAGGCGACTATGCTTGTCGTAAGAGGCGACTAACAGGATACCTGGGTCAGGCTCGCTGACTTGGTTGATGCATTTCATTGTATCCCAATTGCGTGGATCAATGCTCATGATATCAGTCACTGGATTGTCTGTTCTAGACTTGATTATTTGTAGACCACCGTCATATAGCTGGAATATTGCTGAGTGTAGCGTTTAACAACATATGAACGAACACCTCATACTTGGATCTCTAGTCACCAAATATGTTATACACTGTACATGTAGTCAATGGGTATCCCAACGTGTTAATAACCTTCACCTTATATTTGGGTAGCCTAGTCAACTGACATTTCATACACAGTACATGTAGTCAATGGGTATCCCAACGTGTTAATATCCTTCACCTTATATTTGGGTAGCCTAGTCACCAGATGTGTTATACACAGTACATGGATATCCCAAAGTGTTAATGACCTTCATCTTGTATTTGGGTAGCCGAGTCACCTGACGTGTCATACACAGTACTTGGGTATCCCAACGTGTTAATATCCTTCACCTTATATTTGGGTAAGCCTAGTCACCGGACATGTTATACACAGTACATGGGTATCCCAAAGTGTTAATGACCTTCATCTTATATTTGGGTAAGCCTAGTCACCTGACATGTCATACACAGAACATGGGTATCCCAAAGTGTTAATGACCTTCACCTTATATTTGGGTAGCCTAGTCACCTGACATGTTATACACAGAACATGGGTATCCCAAAGTGTTAATGACCTTCACCTTATATTTGGGTAAGCCTAGTCACCTGACATGTCATACACAGAACATGGGTATCCCAAAGTGTTAATGACCTTCACCTTATATTTGGGTAGCCTAGTCACCGGACATGTCATACACAGAACATAGGTATTCCAAAGTGTTAATGACCTTCACCTTATACTTGGAGTCCTGGCTGCATTGCTCTGCTGTCTTCTTCAGGTTTTCCTCATTTCTCCCCGTGATGATGACACGGGCTCCCAGCTGAGAAAACAATATGGCTGTGCCAGCTCCAATACCTGAACTGGCACCTGAAAATGAATTCAATTTTTTATCATTATTGCTGAAAAGCATTCGCTGTGACCTTGACTTACATACCTGACTCATATTACATCACCCTGACGTCACTGATATAGCCTTCCAGTAACGTTTGTGTTGGACAACATCATTCAGTGTCACATGTCAAGTGCTGGGTCTGAAACTCACCAGAGTAAACTGAGAGGACCAGCACATTTAAAAACCCAGTGGAAAAACTGTAGTCCCAAACATTTTATCTGAAGCAGGGAGACATATTCTTGCAATATGAATTACAAAACACAACCAGTCAACCAGAAGCTTTCACTGCTATGATACCAAGTTCCCAGAGACTTGGTGGTGATAGATGAAGCCTACATTTATCAAGGAAATTAGCAGCTTGTGAAGCATCTGTCCAGGGTAGATTAGGTCTTCAGCAACCCATGCTTGCCATAAAAGGCGACTATGTTTGTCATAAAAGGCGACAAGCGGGATCGGGTGGTCAGGCTCGCTGACTTGGTTAACGCATGTCATCGATTCCAATTGCGTGGATCGATGCTCATGTTGTCAGTCACTGGATTGTCTGGTCCAGACTCAATTATTTACAGACCGCCGTCATATAGCTGGAATATTGCTGAGTGCAGTGTTAAACAACAAACAAACAAACATGTCATACACCATTTGAAAGGTCTAATTCTTCTGTTTATATTTAATATGAAGTTATGTTTATCACATTACTCAAATAATGATTAATAAATTATTACTTAGTAAACTGAAGACTGTAAGGACCTGCTGAATTCTAAAACTATCAGCCTGAGAACAAATCTGCCAGCCTCGGGCCAATGGGCACCATTTTGAACACTGGTCAAGTGAACACCTTTACCCATTTAATCAAGTACAGATTTACACAAAACAATGATGGAGCAACTATAGAATATGATCTCCACTATTTTTATTCTAGGATCCAAAGGCTAAGGAGTTGGGGGTAACCTACTCCAACCCTACCACAACTAACCCTAAGGATCAAAGAGGCATGCGACAATAGAGGGCTCTGCTTCTTGTGATATTACCCACAATTCTTACTGGGTGGCCATGTTGGTAGGCTTTGATCGCATTGCATGGTAAGCATTTGATTGTAACATACCAAGATAGCTGATAGACATAGAGTATAGACATGTGTACCAAATGATAGCATTTATAAAAAACAAAAACTATCTATAAATATGCCATTGTCAGACATAGGTCTGGGGTATAAAGTTAATGCATACCAGCTGGCACTGACATATATTACCGCTTTAACAAGGATGTTTAACTTTGCTTTGTTAGCATATTAATAGGTACATTTGTGTGGACTGAATATAAATAACAAAATAAGGGCAGTGGTAATATATTTACAATGAATTTAGTTTGCTATAACAGGCCTCAAAGTTGCGACTAAAACGGTAGCCAATGCGACCAAAACTTCAGTTTGTCTACTGTCCTAAATTCAGAGGTAGCCAAATGACTATCTAGAAATATATCTTGAGGCGACTAAATTCTATTGCTACACATTTGTAGTCACAAAAATAAATAAAAGATGATATTGGAAAACCCGTCTGCTAATAATTGTTCTTACAAATAATTCCTTCTAAAGTCGACAATGAACCAAAATACATAAAAATTAATGTAATTAGTACTTTATTTTAGTTGACAATGCTCATTGGATAAGCGAGGATATGCCTATATAATCTAGTAACATAAATTGCATCATTGTTCAAGTCACAAGTAACAAAATTCAAGTACAGTTTCCATTAAGATACAATTTCCAGATTAGTGCTGTAACTTGTACATATCATAATATACTGAACAACAAAAGTTCCTGTGACATTGAATAAGATTTAATGCAAAGTTATGTTTTTTACCATATCTGAAACAATTTCGGTTTGCAACAGATAAAAGACTCCTGTAAGTGTTCAAATGGTTTAATTTGCCATACTGACTTCAGAAAATGTGTGACTTCATTAAAAACATGAACATGCCAAAATGTCAATTTACAAATCAATAGCGTGTGTGTCCACCTCTGGTTGCGATGCAAGCAACACATCTTCGTCTCATGGAATGGACCAGGCGTCGCACAAAGTCCTATGGGATATCTGTCCATATCTGCTGGAGCATGTTTTGAAGTTCCTGCTGTGTCTGTGGAACCATGGTTGACGTCGAAGGCGCCGATCCATCTCATCCCATATATGCTCGATTGGTGAGAGAACGGGGAGCGAGCTGGCCTGGGGATGACATTCACGTTGTTTTGTTGATGAGAATCCTGAACAAGTCAAGCAATATGAGGCTGGGCGTTGTCATGTTGAAAGGTAATGCCTGGGCCATGACGATGCAAAAATGGTAATACAACAGGGCCGATGATCTCGTCGGGGTAGCGCTGTCCATTAAGATCACTATCAAAAGGGTCCTCTGTCTTGCTGTAATCCCACCCCATACCATAACGCTGCTGCCCCCGAACCGATCTTCTTCCATGACACAATGATTGACGTAACGTTCACCTCGACGTCGGTACACTTGAATCCGTCCATCGCTGTGGCTGAGGTGAAAACGAGACTAGTTAGTGAATAGAACTTGTCCCCACTGCATGGCCGTCCAGCGTAGACGCTGTCTGCACCACTGTATAGGTGCTTGACTGTGGTTTCCTGTCAAAATGGGATGTCTTGCGGGTCTTCTGGCGACAATCCCTGCACATCTGAGGCGGTGACGGATGGTGTGTGAAGATATTTGTCGAAGGCCAGGGATGCTTCTTGCAGTCACTGTTGCTGGCTGGAATCGATTTTGTAGGTGTGTTGTTCGAATCCAGTTGTCTTGTCGATTATTGGTTACGTGTGGCCTGCCACTCCGGGGATGGTCTCTGACTGCATTCGTCTGTTGCCAACGTTGCCATAAACACCAAATAGTGTTTCTGTGGACGTTAAATAGTCTTGCAACATCACGTTGACTGCTTAAAGAATACCTATGGCTCGCAGACGCTCATTTTCGGTCAGGTGTGGCATTTCGTAATGTTGAATAATTGCGTAATTTTGTTGTTTTCTGAGTGGTTGTTGTCAGCACGATGCTAAACAATTCATATGGAACCCTGTTAAAACGTTTTGTCAGTTTTCTTGATCTAATGTTAATTTCATTTGAAAAATTCATTATTTGCAAATATAAGCTAGATGAATGCCAGAATGAATGAGTTCAATGACTCGCCAAATATATGAGTTTTGAAAATACCGTCGTACAAAATATATTAATATCATAGGTTAACAATATTTTCAACAATAATTAGTGAGTGCTGATGTAAGGTGACATTTACTTTACTATAAGATGCGAATATGATTTATCTTTCTTGTTTGAAGTAGGCCTAGTTCTTATGTTCATACACCAGTACGGAAACCTTCGAGAGGGGCAGGAGTGTCCATTAGGCTTGTCCTGGAATGGGACAGCTTATCAAACATCAAGGCAAGCTGACACCAGAATATATGGTCTTTATATAATTAGGAGATAAACATACTGTGTTTTCAATGTAGAGCTAGGTTACCTGTAGATTTAACCCCGCTTAATTGAATTTGGAACTGAACGCGCAGCGTGAGGTTTCAAATGTTATATTTAGCGCGGTTAAATCTACAGGTAACCTAGCTCTACATTGAAGACACAGTATGTTTATCTCCATTCTACCATGACTAAATAAAACGCGAACTCTTTGGTGTTAGCAAATATACTGAGTGAAGCGGCATGGGTTGAGTTCAGTGTTTTGAGTGGGTTATCGATCTGAATTACGGAATCACCAAACAAAATATGGTGCTGTATATACTCAAGCAGTTTGTTTACACCGTTATACTTCACTCGAACATATGACAGGCATTGAAAGCATATAGGTGGGCATCCCTAAAGAAAACAAAGCAAGCTTTGCAAGGCTTTCGCTCTACATCGCGCGTCACCATTATGACGTCATATCGCTCATTGTGACGCAAAAAACGTCACAGTCGTATATAGAAAAGCGCCAAAATTCCAAGCACTCTGTTGTCTCCCAAACGTAAATACATTCCCTTTGTTGATTTCTGTCGTGTTTTTCTGCACGAAATGTATTGCCACGCATCCTTTGAATATTGTAGTAACCGCATCTGTGCATTTCGTAACCTGTAATTGTAGATATAATTATTTAAATATGCCTACCGACAATGACTGAAAATAGTACTAATCTGTGAATATTAGCTTCCGCGGTGATGCGGCCGTCAAACCAGCTGTTTCAATCAGAGGGGGTTTATTGTGATTTAATAGCCTCTGATTGACCAATCAGAATCGAGTAAATTCCAAATTCATGGTAGAATAATTTTTCTTGATACAGTGCTCCCTTGCTATTGCGCTCTTCAGCATAGCGCTAACTCGGTTTTCGCACATGGTGAAGCATGGCTCCCAAAATTTACTTACATTTTTAATAAACTCAAGTTTTCCAATGACACGATGTTTTACCCAATCTAAAAAAAAATAATCAGCTGCTCATCGCGAGCATGTAACAGTGGAAATACCAGTCAAGAAATCCGAACTGATGTATGCAATCTAATCCTATTATTATAATATCTGATTATAAAAAATGTGTTCGGTGTTTATCTGGACATGTTTGTGTAGCGGCCATAAAATTTCCGAAACCTTCTGATCCGAGGTCGGACGTCTTGTCCACATGACCAAAGAGGTTAACCCCGTCAACAAGCTGACAAAGTGAGGATGTCATCTGTGGGATGACTCCATGTCCTGCTACATACTCCCCGATCAACAGAAGGCACGTCCCGGGCCGCATAGTAGGGTACTGAGGCTTATTTTGCTCAAATTTAATGTGAACGTGTTCAGCCCCACGTTGGGCGCCAATGTAGCGGCCATAAAATTTTCGAGTCCCGTGATGGGATTCAAACCACGGACCTTCTGATCAGAGGTCGGACGCCATGTCCACATGACCAAAGAGGTTAACCCCGTCAGCAAGCTGACAAGGTAAGGATGTCATCTGTGGGATGACTCCACGCCCTGCTACATTGCAATATATTTTATTGATTTTATTCAAAATGAATACATGCTTCAAGCAGCTCTGCTATGCTGTCAGTATCTATCAGTATCACCAGCTCTTCGCATTATCGCTACCTACACTACCGTGCACAATTCTGTAGCCTATCAATCTGTCCCGCACCTTGACTGCCAAATAGATCTGCTCTTAATTTAATCAAATCCAATCTACATTCTTTAAACAGGGAAGTCTAACAAGACCAGCTGTTTTGCACGTGACAACAGCATTAGAAAGGAAAATGATGAGAGAAATGTATTGAGCAAAAAAAGATGTAATTCTCAGATTATTTGTTGTTATTTATCAAGCAGTGCTTTTGGAGACATCGATCGTTGTAGGCTACTTATTTAACAACAGTTTTATACCACGTACCTGTCACCAGCGCAACTTTGTCATCGAGTCTCCCAATGGAAGCCATCTCTCCAGTCAATAAAATAATCTACCGACAATGTGATCAGTCGGAACTATGGCGTCAGCTTGACAAAAATTAACAGATGACTTGCACACCAGCTTACCAATGCTGATACACTGAAGCATGTGGACACTCTGAAAAAGGGAGGTAACTCCCAGTATGTCACTTCTTCTTTCCTTGCTATTATCAAATTCAGTTGAAGCAAAGAATTGAGGTTCAACCCCAGGTATTGGAGATAATGCTACATTTATTGAAGAAAAAGAAAAAGAAGATACAACCTTATAACTTTACTTAAAAGTCCTGAAAAGTATGTTTATGAACAGAGAAAAAATACAGGTTACATTTTCAGAATAATTATATATTTTTGATGAAGACGAAACTCATACAATTGCTCATTTTGCAGGATAAGAATTTAACACCAGCCTGCTAGCCCGTGGCTTGTACAAATTCATGTGCGCAAGTACAAATTTCCCCATTGTTTTAACATTGCAAGGGTATTTTATATTAACCCGGCTAGTAAAGATTTTGAGTTTAGCTCTAGCCCCTTTTTGGCTATGTTAGTTTTGTTTTAAATGTTAATGGCCATGATGAGGCTGAATGTACTACGAGGAAGTCTGTGACAGAACTACGAGGAAGTCTGTGACAGAACTACGAGGAAGTCTGTGACTGTACTACGAGGAAGTCTGTGACAGAACTACGAGGAAGTCTGTGACAGAACTACGAGGAAGTCTGTGACTGTACTACGAGGAAGTCTGTGACTGTACCACACCAGGGAGTCTGTGACTGTACCACCAGGGAGTATGTGACTGTATCACCAGGGAGTCTGTGACTGTACTACCAGGAAGTCTGTGACAGTACTACGAGGAAGTCTGTGACTGTACCACCAGGAAGTCTGTGACTGTACTACGAGGAAGTCTGTGACTGTACCACCAGGAAGTCTGTGACTGTACTACCAGGAAGTCTGTGACAGTACTACCAGGAAGTCTGTGACAGTACTACGAGGAAGTCTGTGACGGTACCACCAGGAAGTCTGTGACTGTACCACCAGGAAGTCTGTGACTGTACCACCAGGAAGTCTGTGACTGTACCACCAGGAAGTCTGTGACTGTACTACCAGGAAGTCTGTGACGGTACTACGTGGAAGTCTGTGACTGAACCACCAGGGAGCCTGTGACTGTACCACCAGGGAGTCTGTGACAGTACTCCGAGGAAGTCTGTGACTATCACCAGGGAGTATGTGACTGTACCACCAGGGAGTCTGTGACTGTACTACCAGGAAGTCTGTGACAGTACTACGAGGAAGTCTGTGACTGTACCACCAGGAAGTCTGTGACTGTACTACGAGGAAGTCTGTGATGGTACCACCAGGGAGCCTGTGACTGTACCACCAGGAAGTCTGTGACTGTACCACCAGGGAGTCTGTGACTGTACTACCAGGAAGTCTGTGACGGTACTACCAAGAAGTCTGTGACGGTACTACCAGGAAGTCTGTGACTGTACCAACAGGGAATCTGTGACTGTACCACCAGGGAGTCTGTGACTGTACCACCAGGGAGTCTGTGACGGTACTACCAGGAAGTCTGTGACGGTACTACCAGGAAGTCTGTGACTGTACCACCAGGGAGTCTGTGACTGCACAACCAGGGAGTCTGTGACTGTACCACCAGGGAGTCTGTGACAGTACCACCAGGAAGTCTGTGACTACCACCAGGGAGTCTGTGACAGTACCACCAGGAAGTCTGTGACTGTACCACCAGGGAGTCTGTGACAGTACCACCAGGGAGTCTGTGACTGTATCACCAGGGAGTATGAGACTGTATCACCAGGAAGTCTGTGACTGTACTACGAGGGAGTCTGTGACTGTACCACCAAGGAGTCTGTGACTGTACCACCAGGAAGTATGTGACTGTACTACGAGGGAGTCTGTGACTGTACCACCAGGGAGTCTGTGACTGTACCACCAGGGAGTATGTGACTGTACTGCCAGGGAGTATGTGACTGTACTATGAGGGAGTCTGTGACTGTACCACCAGGGAGTCTGTGACTGTACCACCAGGGAGTCTGTGACTGTACCACCAGGGAGTATGTGACTGTACTGCCAGGGAGTATGTGACTGTACTATGAGGGAGTCTGTGACTGTACCACCAGGGAGTCTGTGACTGTACCACCAGGGAGTATGTGACTGTACTGCCAGGGAGTATGTGACTGTACTATGAGGGAGTCTGTGACTGTACCACCAGGGAGTCTGTGACTGTACCACCAGGAAGTATGTGACTGTACCACCAGGAAGTATGTGACTGTACCACCAGGGAATCTGTGACTGTACCACCAGTAAGTCTGTGACTGTACTACGAGGGAGTCTGTGACTGTACCACCAGGAAGTATGTGACTGTACCACCAGGGAGTCTGTGACTGTACCACCAGGAAGTATGTGACTGTTCTACGAGGGAGTCTGTGACTGTACCACCATGGAGTATGTGACTGTACCACCAGGGAGTCTGTGACTGCACCACCAGGAAGTATGTGACTGTACCACCAGGGAATCTGTGACTGTACCACCAGGGAGTCTGTATTAACCCCCTGGAAATGCTGAGTGTACTAAAATCATCTCACTTCTCTTCAGTATTCCACGAGGATGTCATTAAAACAAAGAACACTGCTGTTAGCATCCGTGTGACTGACAGATTTTGTTTGATATGTTTAATCCCCCGTGGGGGTTCCAGATAAGAAAAGGTCCCCTTTGACCTGTGCGTGCTGGTTGATTGCTTGTCGTCTACACAAACTGTGGATTGATGCTCATGATGTCAATCACTGGAGTGTAAGAGGCAGTTACATAATTTGGGTGGTCAGGCTTGGTGACTTGGGTTGATTGCATGTCATCCTACCTAGACTGCAGTGGATGCTGCTCATATGAATCAGTGGTTTGTCTGGTCCAGACTTGATTATATACCAGTAGCTGGAATATTGCCAAGTTCAGTTTAATAAAAAACATGTACCATTCAATGCAGCCTTAAACACAAAAAAACCCAAGTGTTTGGCCCCTCTTGAGGCGCTGACTCAAAAAGTCTCTAACAAAGTTGTTGCCCTCCCCCAAGAGTATTAGACGGTTGGTTCGATACACCCATGTCAGAGCAGGAAATATTAAAGGATAGGTTTCACACATTGTCCCCTTTTAGGGAACTGAACTGGGGTATATATATATGGTTAAAGTATTTCTCTCATCTGACTAGACCCCAGTTCACATAACTGTGAGTACAAACATAACAAAACAAACTAAAAAATATTATTTACAATTTATTACAATCTGTACATTTATTCAATTTGTACAAAGTCATAATTTTAATGATTTTTTTACACATGATCATACTGATTAGTCATATTGATAAAATCAGTGCACAGCTTCCACTCAAAAATAAATATTCATACCAGATGAAAGGAACACAATGCCAGCTCAGTCTGCCCATGTTGTAAGAGGCAAATGTGCTCATTTAAGTCCCAGGGGCTGCTGGCATTGAAGACAATCTTTTCAACCTGTATCGCACAGAGAGAAGACATCGTGTGGGTGATGGCACAAAACTTTTCAAAACAAGAGACTGTCTGGCTGAAACTTCCAAGACATCAATGCCTCGTTCTCAGTGTTTCAGTGTATTATGTCTCGTGGCAGCAGCTCTTCTGCGTATTTCTCTTCACGAATATTGCAGGGGAAATACAAGGGTAATAATCCCTTGTACACATCCTGCAACATAACAGCGATACAACGTGTCAACACAATACAGCTTATGTGGACATCAGAGTGATGTGAGTCAACCTGGAGAACGTAACATTTCATTGCCATCGTTTGTAAGAACAATGAAAGAGTGAGTATGGTTCAATGCGCTTTAAGAAATATTCCAACAATATCACGGCAGTGGACACCAGAAATGGGCTTCACATGTTGTACCCATGTTGGAAATTGAACCCTGGTCTTCGGCGTGACGATCGAACGCTTTAACCACCAGGTTAACCCACGGGACAATGATATTGCGAGGTCTGTTTAGGGTAATAATCAATGTCTGATCATGCTGATGTCAAAGGAACAAGATCAGATTTACATTGGTTCCATGTGCTTTTCACAGCCAATCCTTAAAAAGGGAAAAGATGTTGACAAATTGTTTAACTCTTTCAAGGGTTCGCTTGTATAAGGTTACAATCATTACATCATGCTGAGCTCCTGTTCACATGTTATTGATAGGTTGATGAGTTTAAGGTTATGTGCAATGCATATTCTGTTCAATGTTGGTGAAAAGAAAGATGGAGATGGTGACACTACACCAGAAACAAAGCTTTGGTGGCAAATATTACCGGGTTATCTATCAAAATAGAATGGAGATATAACACACTGAAACATTGAGCAAGTCAATCTCTTCTCGATTCACATATTCATCTCTGTTACACAAACAGAACCAAAACATATAGTCTCAACAACAGCAACAAATTGGACATTGCAAAAGATTCTTGAGGCAAATGAGAGCTCCAAACGGACAGCTTTTATAATATGCTGTTCTACAACACAAGTAAGTTGTCTTATTCTAAACGAACACGAAAGAATCAGCTATAGCCATTTTTCTTTATTAGGAAGTCATTGTCCAAAATCTTGAAACAGTACAGGAAGACATAAAAATATAAAAAATATCACATCGGCCATTCGTGTCTGGCCACTTGAATTACATACCAATTAATCATACATAGTATCCTCTAGCATCATCATAATAATAGAAGAACAACTAAACATAGCTGAAGGTCCCGACCCTACTTCATCAGCCCCAACTAATCTGTTACCTGTTGTCACACCCCACAAACATAAGGATATTGACCACATACTAATACTGAATGATTTTGAAAAATCTGCTACTTGCATTCTATTTTAGTTGTGTCTTCTGTACCACAAATCTACATCACTAACACTCTACAAACCTGAAGGGGAAGGAACCCTCAGTCATGATGTCACGGTAAATCTCATGTTTTCAATCTTAACACAGCCAATCACAATGCAGCATCAATTTCATCCTTATTTACCGATTTGACACAATGATCTGTCTTCAGTTGTAAACTGCATGTCTTATTGGTAAAATTTACACAATGAAGCATTTTCCTAAGGAAGATTCCTGCTAGTAACACACTAAAAAAAATGGTGAGAGAATATGTCCTTGTCACACACAGTGAGACCCATTTGCAGGCTACCATCCTGATTACAGACAGGACCAAGTATCACACTATATATACAGAGAGAGGGTGAATAATGGTTAGCACAGCAACCAGCAATATTCCAGGCATATCACAGCTAACTAGAAGAGTGTTTGCAAGGAGCTGCAAAAACAGAAGCAGTCCCTCACCGTCTGTTCTGAAAGGCCCCAGAAATCTTCACCTACCACCATGCATTTTCACCCTGATACCATTACCTTCGATTCAGTTAAATTAATACATGCTCCGACCTCGAGCCAGACAACAGTATCTCGCTTCCAGATAGAATCTAATGAGGAACAAAGATTCACTGAATACTATTTAGTTCACTGAACATACGTTGCTAATGACTTTCACTGTGACCTTACAACCTTGGAAGAGCCTTTACCTTCAAACAAACTTTGCTAATGACCTTCACTGTGACCGTACAGCCTTTTCAGAACCTTCACCTTCAAACATACTTTGTAAATGACCTTATGTTTTATTGACCTGCAGTAACTGCTTCTCGGGTTAAAATGAACTTTTCCTCAGGTTATCACCTTGAGGATGACCTTGACCATGTTGAGCCTTGACATGACTTACCAATGTGGAATAAACAGACATAAAGGAGACAAACTGGATACAATATCACTGAAATATCCCAGCACCTCATGGCTCCAAAAACAAAGTGCAGCAGTGGTTAATTCTAACAAAACCTTAAACGCATCCTTATCAACATGTTTAACAATCTAGACAGGCAATCCAGTGGTTGATAGCATGAACACATTCCTGATGGGAGTTGTTTCATCTGGAGGAATCCATTTCAAATTACCACATGTTTGTTGCCTTCCTCCAAAATTTGAACTTAATAATCCAAATACTAGAAAACAAAAGTACCATCCCCTTGCATCACCATCTGAAATCTGTGAACCCTGTCAAACCGTATCCTCAATAAGAACAGGCTATATACTTCACTCACACTGTACAGATCTGCATCTGTCAATCAGTCACTCAATAAGATAAAGGTTCAAATGTCACTCTTGCCAAACTGATCTGTTTATTAATGGTACTAACTGGTATAAATTAATGACTGACATAGATCTACCATCAACTCAAGTTTTGACTCTGTATCCAAGGTCAACAGGATCAGCCAGAAGATTTTACCACAATCAGAGTGAGTGAGTGAGTTGGGTTTAATGCCGCTTTTAACAGTATTCCAGTTATATCGTGGTGTGTCAGCTTAATGTGGGAGGAAAGCCCGAAGTGATGCAGGTCTCAGACGTTTACCACTTCGGTGGAACCCACGAGCATGGGTATGGTGCTGACAAACCTAGAAACATAATCGGGGCGAACCGGGATTCGAACCCACAATCATAGGTTTCTGGCATGCCCAAGGGACGCAACTCTGCACAACGTATCGTGGCACCTTAGACGACTGGGCCACCCGTGCCCCCTACCACGATCAGAGGTGTCTAGACTATGAGGCTGTGAATGTATGTACTAACACAAAATACTGATCCACAACTGTCATTGTCTATAACAATCACCTAACTACAGAATAACCTAGGTGAAGCACAAGAGGAATAGCTACAAGTGATATACAGGCTATATATGAACTAACAATGTCAAATGGTGCGGAAGCATTATTATTATTATTAATATCGTCATAAATTGTTTATTCTACTTTATGTAAAAGATACTGCACATTTAACTCCACACGGCCAAACAATCCAAATACACACTGATCAGTGAAATTCTGATTAATGTAAATGATCATATTTCACTAATTTCATATTTTGATCTGCAGCTGAAAGCACATGACATGGTTCCTTATTTGTGTTAAAATTTACAAATAAACTAAAAAAACAAACCTGTTTGTTTCATTACTACCCTTAGCTTACATCAAGCACCACTGTCCCATATTTGTCTCATGATATGAAGCGACAATAATAATAAGCTTGTACCCTGCTACAATGTGGCACACATCACATGCTTCAAACTACAACTACCAAGGTCATCCTCAGAAACATACTTGTGAACGTACTTGCCTGGTATTTAACACTGTCATAGGTTGGTAGAAACATTTTTTCTAGGTTGATTAAAACTCAACATCCGTTAGACAAAAGAACAGGGATGCCTCTCACAGGATACACATCATCAAGATTCTACTGCTAAATTGATAAAGATTAAAATATCAGTTGTTCCCAAACTGATGTACAGTAGAACATGGATATATAACAAACTACAAGGGACCTGAGAAATCAGTTTGTTATATACATTTTTCGTTTCAGATGTAGTTCGTTATATACGTTTTTGCTTGGAAAGTCCGCCATCTTGGATAAAACAGAACGCCGTACACGTGATTTGTTTTACAGACAAGATTAGTCCAATTACATGTACGGGTAAGATTAACATTAAGTAAGTTTAACAAGGTTGAATCGTCACCGCTGATTGTGTTGATTCACAGCTGATTGTGTATAGCCAATTGTCAGTGACATTTGACACTGAATGAGATTTCTCAGTTCGCTATACACATCACTAATTAGTGGTATTTGGGCTTGGCTGTGATCAGATATCAGTTCGCTATATACGTTAGTCGCTGTAGAGAGTTTGTTATGAACGTAAATTTTATATGATAATATTTAGGAGATAAATCAGGGATTTTGTAAGAGTTTGTTGTATCCCTTTATTCGTTCTATCCGTGTTCTACTGTACTTAAAAAGACTAAAAGATCAGTTCTTCCAATCGTGACTAGAACTTTGAAAGAGTTTGTCTTGTTATGGAAAAGAAATTGTTATTATGACTAATAATTACCTTTTTGATCAGGAACACTGATCATATAGGTTATTGCATCTAGTTCAACAGACATATGTGAAACATATATCAACTCACTGGTAAAATAATACCAACAAGCTTATCTTACGGTCTCATGCGTATTCCGGCGATAAAATAGATCGGGGTGTCCAGGCTCTGTGACCATGTCATACCCCGACAGCTTGGATTGTTGTTCACAATATCTAATCCTGGACTGCCTGGTCCAGACTCGAAAATTTACAGGCTGCTGTCATATAGCTGGAATATTGCTGAAATCGGTTTAAACATTGCTTAGCATACAGGGGAAATATACTAACCACAACATCCCCTACTCACGGAGAGGAGACAGCAAATATTATGTCAACCACATGATCCTAAGACCTATAACAATACATGATGCATGGATTTCACTGTCAAAACGTCAGGACAGTCTAGAGACTATTTTCCAACAAAACCTGCAAAGTATTTTGGATGCATGCATTTTAACTATAATTTAGAAAACATCCTATACATACCTTACAAGTTTACAATATTAAATCAGCGTTACAAAAACGATAACCTCTGAATTTTCGGAGGATCTACCTCAACCCTCGATCCACCTACATCCCAGAGGTAAATGGTAGGTGTAAGGGACTGGTCATATATTTTAGAGGGGTGGGGGATATATGTCCTAGGACTGTATGATACTTCACTGACACCCTCCCCCCGTTTTATCTGAATAATGTTTGCAGTTATTACTTTTCTATTTGAATAAATAGAACAGGAATTTTTCATACACTCCACCCAATCTCATTAAAACCAGATCTTAGTTCTCGCTTTGCTAAACAAAGATCTGAGGACATCTCATTAAGGCTCACGTCAGAACGACCTTTCATCCAACCAATCAGAGCGTCGCTTGCCAGATTATGAAAGTGACAGTCGGAATGTGTTTTCGAATCATGCAACCACGAAATATTTAACACGGGGTATTCCGAACAACAGTTATGGGTTTTATGATTAAATCCATACAATCTAGGCCATCTATAAGCCATTCCAGAATGTTCTTTTCATCAGTTTTAATTTTTTTGTTTCAAAGCGTAGTTGCGAGAAAGCTGCCTTCTGATTGGCTAATATCGATTTCTTGTCAGTTATTTCATTGGTTGGTCAAAATTCGCGAAAGGTCGTTCTGACGTGACCCGTAATGGGATGTCCTCAGATCTTTGTTTAGCGGTAGCGAAAACTAAGATCTGATTTTAATGAGATTGACATTCCCCCATAGTTGTGACATTATTGGTGACCACTTTCTCTTGCTGTCATTTTGTTCATGCCACCCCACCACGAACCTCATTGGCCCCTTCTCCTCTAACTTAAAGACCAGTAACTTACAAACACACACTTGAGATCATGAAATGTGGAAACCTTTCACCCGGGACCTGAGCATTCAGGGTATCAGTAGTGAAGGTGTTTGATGATGTCATAATAATGCTACACAAAAGAAAAGGTCTTCATTCTCAATTATTGCTGTGTCAAAACATTTCTCTGCCTGAACTTTTGATTATTGCCTTATGACTAACTAAGTAATTCTGACACAAAACAGACCACGTTTGAATAGTAAACCAAGAAGCCACTGCCCTTGACCCAAATCTCAGCCAAATCAACCAAAGCTTAATTCAAGTGCCTAACCATAGGTTTCTAATCTTAAAGTTCTGGAAGAACTTCTTGTGCAACAATGACAACTGTCTAAAAAGAAGCTGTCAGATTTACACAATATAACAGGAAACTATAACATAAAATAGTCATATTAAGGCTAAAAAAAATAATAGTCTTGGTTCACATCATCGCCAGCATCATCATAAAGTCTGCTGCACATTTCATTTTAATTTCCATTTAAAAAAAATATCCTACTACTTAAAAACAATGCGATCCAATATAGCATGCAGTTCCTTCCCTTTATACACGCACTGCTTTACTGTGTATCTTGTTTTATGATCATGGCAGCAATGGGAGTTTGTAGGCTCGTTTATGTAGGGAGGCCCTTTCCCAGGTTGATGGTACACAGCTGCTTATTTGGTTACGTACTAGTTTGAATGAGCAAAAAAACTATTAAAAAAACACCCCCAAAAACAAAAAAACAACATCCTGCCCACACTATATTTTCAAAAGTCATTGCCTGAGAACCAATTCTTTTATTTTTTTTAAACCTTAGTATCATCATACTTTTCTAATTTACTAAAACATCACTCAACAAACCAATGGCAGGTCATTCTTCTAATCACTGGAGGTAAATGAGAGTGTAAATTCACTAATTTATTAACAGCCATTGGTTGCAAATCAAATTTATCATGGGCTGATTAAAACTGATAGCACACAAATACATGGATTCAGTCAATAAATATTGTCTCTCGTCAACCAGAAACAAATGCCACTATGTGGTCAAACTGGAGTGGAAGTTAAAAACACAGATGAAAGTGTGAGAGTAATCTCAGTGTCAGTGGGATCCATGAGTAAGCGTTGGTTCGATGGGCAGTTTACTGGATGAAGTTGGTGATGCTGGAACTCTATGGGAATCTTTGTCATCAAAGTCCTTCTGGAGAGTCCTCTGACGGAACACTGTAGCGAGCGCCGTTGATCTAAAAGAACACACTGAGTATGACAGACAGCACACAATTAGTCTTCACTTGTCTAGATATGTCTACCATGACTACAGAAAATAACTTGATGCATAATGGAAGCTTGAAAAAAGCTTGACTGATACGATGTCCATCATATTGTCATTGTCTAACATTAGTGTCAGGATCAGACAACAGATGATAATGGCCAATGATATACAGTGATCCCTCGCTACAACGCTACCTTTGGAATCCAAATAATTGATGAGCGTTATAGTTTGGTCAGGGTGGAAACTGGACTTTTGCCTCGGGAAGATGGGTACCAGAAGTATTCTGACTTTATAAACAATTTTTTTATTACCAGATATGATAATAATAGGATTAAATTGCGTACTTCAATTCGGATTTGTTGACTGGTATTTCCGATGTTAGGTGATCGCGGTGATCAGCTGATAATGTTTTCCGAGATGGGGGAAAACATTGCGTCATTTGAAAACTTGAGTTTATTAAAAATGTTAGTAAATTTTGGGAGCCATGCTTTTCCGCACGCTGTTACTGAGTTAGCGCTATATTGAAGGACGCAATAACGAGGGAACACTGTAATAGGACATATCTTACAGGACCTTTGTTCTCATTAATCCGTTTTCAGATTTGTCCCCCACCCCCCCACCCCCCCCAAAAAAAATAAAAAATTAAAACAAATTATGGAGTGGGGTGTAAGAAAAACATATCCAAGCATTCATAAAGAGTCACCTAAAAAATAACAGAATATTGGATGGACGTCGTCTACTACCAATTCTCTACCCTGTACATGACTAGTCCTGTGTGTATTGATACATGTAATTCCTGGGACCAAAGCCTAAGATGAAGATGCTGACCCTGGTGTGACGCCCTATACACTACCTGAATATCATAGTCCATGACAAAGGGTGGGACGTCCAGCTGGTCAGGGTTCATCTTGGTGTAGAGGTACTGGACACCACGCAGGTTATGCACCTTCGGCTTGATGTCAGATGCCGTAAAAGTTGTGAAAAACCAGGTTGCAAGCTGAAAAACACACGTAAATTTATTAAAATCTCTTCTACAAAAAGTAGTGGAAGTAAATCATGGGCCCAGAGTAACTGTATGTGCTGAGGATGTTGCATCCAAACTCTCATGTCTTGAGGGAACCAATATTACGAACACACAAAACACCTCAATCTTTCCTGAAATAGGTGAGGTGAGGTGAAATTGGGTTTAACTTCGCGTCCAAGATTATTGTGCTTATATAGCGACGTGCATGCACGTGTATGTGTGTGTGTGGCTGCTTGTACTAGTCAGGACTGATGCCGATTTATAGTGCTAGCACACTGAGATATCATGCCGCATGTTTGTGTGTGTGTGTGTCGCTGCTTGTACTAGTCCTAGCTAGCTCACTGAGATACCATGCTGCAGTTTAACATGAATACCCCACTCAGACACAGTATACTGACTCCGAGCCGACCAGTCCTTGTTTTAGCCCTTTAGTGCCGAGCGCCAGACAGGGTAACAACAAGTACCATTTTTTTTACGTCTTTTGGTATGACGCGGCCGGGGATCGAAGCCTGGACCTTCTGCTCTCCGGGCGGACGCTCTACCACTAGACCACGGAGGCGGTCTTCCTGAAATAGAGTTCTCCCTTGGCAAGGGGAAATTTCATATATGAATGTCTGTCTCTATATGTAAAAGTCTAGTTTCCACCCTTTCCGAATTGGGCTGGAATTATGGGGACTAATGAGTATTCATAGTCCAATCAAAATTGCGTAACAAAATCAACATCCGTTTGTAAACTGCCATGCTCTTTCTGGTCGATTGCAGGATTTGCATGCAATGCATGAGTACCGTCAATTTAATGTCAACGGATATTTTAAAAATCAATTGTTTTTAATCAAGGTGCTCACATGATTCGATGCACTTTGTGAAGAAAGACACATTAATTACAATTTAGATCTTGATTATCGATCAGATCGTCTTGACTGGGCACCGCAATTTTGTTTAAAGCAATGCAAGAGATATCAGGTGGAATCTGATTGGTCAGAAGGAGGGATATAGAAGAGATTTAACTTATTCTAGCCACTGGTGGCGCTACGATGGCGCCCAGAAATTCCAGCCTAGTTTGGCCAGGGTGGAAACTGGACTTTTACAGTCAGTTATGTCCCTTGACTCGGGAAGATGGGTACCAGAAGTATTCTAAGAACTATATTCAGAGGACATCTCAGCACATAGGTTTTCACTGATGCTCACCTTAGACCACCAGGTGGGGTGTATCACATAGAAGGCCTTTAGGTTCTTCTTATATCTGTAACATAAAATAAAACATCAGTCACAGGTACAACGTGAACATCAGTTATCCCTAGTATGATCATGTGTTAGTATTTGTTGTCCTGGGACATAGGCTGACCCCCCAACTCAGCCCTTTAAATCACTACCTGAGTGCTGTACCTTAGAGAAAAAGCCTATACACTTATAAGGTGGTGAGCATGAACTTGTCTTTTCCAAATAAGTCAGGCACCTGATTAGCCTACTACTCCTGCTTGGAGCAGATACCCACACCACGACTACTTGACCCACATACCAAACCCACGACTACCTGATCCAGATACCAACACCACGACCACATGACCCAGATACCCACACCAGGACCACCTGATACCCACACCAGGACCACATGACCCAGATACCCACACCAGGACCACCTGATACCCACACCAGGACCACATGACCCAGATACCCACACCAGGACCACCTGATACCCACACCAGGACCACCTGATACCCACACCAGGACCACATGACCCAGATACCCACACCAGGACCACCTGATACCCACACCAGGACCACATGACCCAGATACCCACACCAGGACCACCTGATACCCACACCAGGACCACCTGATACCCACACCAGGACCACCTGATACCCTCACCAGGACCACCTGACCCAGATACCCACACCAGGACCACCTGATACCCACACCAGGACCACCTGATACCCACACCAGGACCACCTGACCCAGATACCCACACCAGGACCACCTGATACCCACACCAGGACCACCTGATACCCACACCAGGACCACCTGATACCCACACCAGGACCACCTGATACCCACACCAGGACCACCTGACCCAAATACCAACACCATGACCACATGACCCAGATACCCACACCAGGACCACCTGACCCAAATACCCACACCAGGACCGCATGATCCAGATACCAGAACCACTTAATACCCACACCACAACCACCTGACACAAATACCCATACCACGACCACCTGACCTAGCTGCAATGGTTGATGTGACAAGCAAGGGATACTGGGGACCTATTGTTCCTGAGATACAAACCTGCGATCTAACAAACTGTAGGCAAACTTGAGGTAGTTCATGGCAGGGTGGTTATTGCTGGTTGTCTGTGTGTGAAAGTACACCACCACATAGTCCTTCTCCACCACCGGATCCATCACTCGCACCATGTAGAGCAGGGCCTGAAACACACATGTAGAGCAGGGCCTGAAACACACATGTAGGGCAACACACATGTAGAGCAGGGCCTGAAACACACATGTAGAGCAGGGCCTGAAACACACATGTAGGGCAGGGCCTGAAACACACATCCACATGTAGGGCAACACACATGTAGAGCAGGGCCTGAAACACACATGTAGGGCAACACACATGTAGAGCAGGGCCTGAAACACACATGTAGGGCAACACACATGTAGGGCAGGGCCTGAAACACACATGTAGGGCAACACACATGTAGGGCAACACACATGTAGAGCAGGGCCTGAAACACACATGTAGGGCAACACACATGTAGAGCAGGGCCTGAAACACACATGTAGGGCAACACACATGTAGAGCAGGGCCTGAAACACACATGTAGGGCAACACACATGTAGGGCAGGGCCTGAAACACACATGTAGGGCAACACACATGTAGAGCAGGGCCTGAAACACACATGTAGGGCAACACACATGTAGAGCAGGGCCTGAAACACACATGTAGGGCAACACACATGTAGAGCAGGGCCTGAAACACACATGTAGGGCAACACACATGTAGAGCAGGGCCTGAAACACACATGTAGAGCAGGGCCTGAAACACACATGTAGGGCAACGCACATGTAGGGCAACACACATGTAGAGCAACACATGTGTAGATCAGGTCTACAGGGCTACTGGCCAACCACTTGGACGCCGATGTTGAAAATAATGAGAACCTTATTATATTTTTACTACAAGTTCATTTTGACACTTCCACTATACTACTGTTGACTTCAATGAATAACTCACCCTCTCAGGATCCACATTGTTGGCGGGGAAGTTCTTGCCAACAAACACAACCACAGGTCGTCCAATGCGGTCGACTCCTGACCGATACAAACACCTCAGGGCTGCAATGTCTGTTAGATCATCTGTCTTGGAGCGCTTCAAGAACCTGTCATATCTTAGAACAGAAAGAAAGAATACCAGGTATTAACAGTCTGTCACACAGTCCCGGAACCATATCATTTTACTTTCCACCCAGCCCATTCTGTAATGCAAAGGCCCTAAATGAAGCAAGTCTAGAATTTCCTAACCTTCCATCTCACTGTGGCTCCTTTTCAATTTAAATGGAGTTATTTGTTTCTACCAAAATTATATACTTTCAGAGACTACTGGTAAGTGTTTGTCCAGAATCTTAATGCAACAAGTGACAGAGAATTTGTTGAACATACAGAAAACTTCAGCTGGCAGGATTTGTTTGTTTGTTTGTTGTTTAACGCCGCACTCAGCAATATTCCAGCTATATGACAGCCTGTAAATAATTGAGTCTGGGCCAGACAATGCAGTGATTGATATCATGAGCATCGATATACGCACTTGGGATACGATGACGTGCATCAACAAAGTCAGCGAGCCTGACCACCCGATCCTGTTAGTCGCTTCTTACGACAAGCATAGTCACCTTTTACGGCAAGCATGGGTTGCTGAAGACCTATTCTACCCCGCATCTTCACGGGTCTTAGATGGCAGGAGGTCTATACAGTTTACATGAATCAGCTCAATAAACCTCTAATAGAATCTATAAATGTGTGTTGTGGAGTGTAGTTCTGGTCACTGATTATTGTTGTCTGATGTCATCACCAGCAATATTCCAGCTATATCACAGTGACCAGTCAACATGGTAAATAACCTTTGTGCCTAGCAAGCCAAGGCCAACCAGTGTCTGGTAGCATGGAAAATGATCCATGTCATCGGTACACAAACACACCAAGGTCATTGTAAAACACCAGATCAAATTTGTGTTGGCCCGACAAGCATGGTGTACCGTAGACCTCCTCTGTCAACAGACTCCCTACAGATAGTCAGCAAGCATGGAATCTGTCCCCAAAGAGAATCCTTGCAGTGAATCTGCAAGCCTGGAATCTGTCCTCTGAGAGAATTCCTTGAAAGGGTCAGCAAGCATGGAATCTGTCCCCAAAGAGAATCCCTACAAGGAGTCAGCAAGCATGGAATCTGTCCCCTGACAGAATCTCTACAGGGTGTCAGCAAGCATGGAATCTGTCCCCTGACAGAATGTCTACAGTGTGTCAGCAAGCATGGAATCTGTCCCCTGACAGAATCTCTATAGGGTGTCAGCAAGCATGGAATCTGTCCCCTGACAGAATCTCTATAGTGTGTCAGCAAGCATGGAATCTGTCCCCTGACAGAATGTCTATAGGGTGTCAGCAAGCATGGAATCTGTCCCCTGACAGAATCTCTATAGGGTGTCAGCAAGCATGGAATCTGTCCCCTGACAGAATCTCTATAGTGTGTCAGCAAGCATGGAATCTGTCCCCTGACAGAATCTCTACAGGGTGTCAGCAAGCATGGAATCTGTCCCCTGACAGAATGTCTACAGGGTGTCAGCAAGCATGGAATCTGTCCCCTGACAGAATCTCTATAGTGTGTCAGCAAGCATGGAATCTGTCCCCTGACAGAATGTCTACAGGGTGTCAGCAAGCATGGAATCTGTCCCCTGACAGAATGTCTACAGGGTGTCAGCAAGCATGGAATCTGTCCCCTGACAGAATCTCTATAGGGTGTCAGCAAGCATGGAATCTGTCCCCTGACAGAATCTCTATAGTGTGTCAGCAAGCATGGAATCTGTCCCCTGACAGAATGTCTACAGGGTGTCAGCAAGCATGGAATCTGTCCCCTGACAGAATGTCTACAGGGTGTCAGCAAGCATGGAATCTGTCCCCTAACAGAATCTCTATAGGGTGTCAGCAAGCATGGAATCTGTCCCCTGACAGAATGTCTACAGGGTGTCAGCAAGCATGGAATCTGTCCCCTGACAGAATGTCTACAGGGTGTCAGCAAGCATGGAATCTGTCCCCTGACAGAATGTCTACAGGGTGTCAGCAAGCATGGAATCTGTCCTCTGACAGAATCTCTATAGGGTGTCAGCAAGCATGGAATCTGTCCCCTGACAGAATCTCTATAGGGTGTCAGCAAGCATGGAATCTGTCCCCTGACAGAATCTCTACAGGGTGTCAGCAAGCATGGAATCTGCCCCCTGACAGAATGTCTATAGTGTGTCAGCAAGCATGGAATCTGCCCCCTGGCAGAATCTCTATAGGGTGTCAGCAAGCATGGATTCTGTCCCCATGACTCTCAGGAACATTTGATCAGCAAAATGTAACAATCACTGAAACTGCAGATAAAGAGTGTTGCTAGGGCAGATTGTCCTTACTCAGTTTGCAACTACATCCAGATCTAATGATCGGAATCTCTTTCCAGTGAGTGAGTGTGTATGACTCACCATTTCAGCAATATTCCAGCAATGTCATGACAGGGGACACCAGAAATGGGCTTCACATATTCCACACCAAGTGGGGAATGAAACCGAGGCCTCGGGCACGATGAGCGAATATCCCCTATTGAATTAGACCCCCTATATCCAATGCAACAATGACATTCTCTAACAAGCATTCAGAGACCATCATTATATCTCATTGTCATGTTTGGCCTCAACATATGTTTATTTCAGGAGAAGTCGGGATCGGTAAACAAGCAAAACTTGCTTATGTAAAAACCTCTCCAGGTAATAACTTAACAACAGCTGGTTATATATAAGATAGTGCCAAACATAAACTTACTAAATGCACAAATTAAATACACAAAGTCAATACATTGATGTAAGTGGTGTCTGTGAAATAAAATAAATTACTATATGCTTAAAATTAAGCTACTCAAATCTTTTGCTTTTGACAATGAAATCATGAACTGATTGAAGGATAGTCATGTTTGTAGAACTGCTGACTGAACTACTGCCATGTAATATTGTTTTTAATCATAGAAATACAGAGTGTTTCTGATATTATCATAGTTTTGACAGGCATAGAAAAAGTGAATTGTATCTTCAAAATGATATCCACAAGTGCAGTCTGGTATGTCTAATACATGTCGTCTAAACTTATCAGCATTTAAGTCACTGCAGCCGAGCCTGAGGCAACAGTGGACAATTTGGCATGATCTATGACCTTATTTTAAGTCTAAGTTATTAATAATTGTATCAACAATATCTTAACACTTAGACTTCCCCCAGGCCCCCTTTTTCCAAAGACAATGACATTCTCTAACAAGCATCCAGATACAGTCATTGTAGCTCAATGGCAAGTAAATTCCTAATGGATAATCTTACCTCCTTTTCATTTCTATTTTCCTCTGTTCATCACTACTCTTCCCATAGAGACTTGTTTTCTTCACTTTATCAGGATTTTCCTCCATTTGAGCAAAGGGATGGTGACCGACATCCAGGGCTGTTGATTGCTCAAATGCCTGGTTTAGGTCAATGGTCTCCTCGAAGTCCTCTCTTCCTTCAGCCTCTGTGAACACAGCACAATATCAAATGAAAAAAATGTCTTCATTGGTTTTAAAGCATTTAAGTAGTGTCAACATAAAATGAGAAAACGGAAGCATTCCCATCAATAACTTTTCATGAAGGCACTGAACCACAAAACAAAATTATATGTACTTTTTCCTTGTAGCTTTATTAGATCATACTCAGTTAGTGAGTGAGTGAATTTGCTTTAACGCAACTTTTAACATTATTCCAGTTACATCACAGCGTGTCAGCTTAATGTTGGAGGAAAGCCCCAAGTGATGCAGGTCTCAGACATTAACCACTTTGGTGAAACCCACGAGCACTGGTATGGTGCCGACAAACCTAGAAACATAATCGGGGCGAACCGGGATTCGAACCCACAATCATAGGTTTCTGGCATGCCCAAGGGACACAACTCTGCACAGCCATTCGCATGACTCTGATTGGCTGATTTGAAAGTTTCTCCAGGTGCAACCCCTAATGGAGGTGTACGCAGATCTTCATTCAGAGATGTATCGTATCGCGTTAAATATCACATATTAATATGATTGTACATTTAAATAAGACGGTACATGTGTGCAAAAAGGTATCCAAGAAGATGACACAATCTTCTTTCGGCGGTTAGTAAAGCACAGAAAATGGTAAGACTTGCTGGAAAGTGTGAAAGAGTGTAAAGTCCCGATGCTAAAGGTTTTTTTTATTCCATAATTCATTCAGAGTTTTGCAATTAGGAAAAGTTGTCTGAGACAGTATTTGTAATCACTGTCAGCCTATATGACAAAACGTAACCGGACATAGTACAAGCTTACTGTCACAAACTTAATTATACCTCAACAGAGGATACCTGACACAACAAGGAACCACAATTTCGCCACAGTGACATTGTGGAAAAATATCTCCTTGTGCATGGACAGTCTCCTTTTCTCCAATATAACTGGTAATCAAATTCCTTCTTGTGCATGGACAGTCTCCTTTTCTCCAATATAACTGGTAATCAAATTCCTTCTTGTGCATGGACAGTCTCCTTTTCCCCAATATAACTAGTAATCAAATTCCTTCTTGTGCATGGACAGTCTCCTTTTCCCCAATATAACTGGTAATCAAATTCCTTCTTGTGCTTGGACAGTCTCTTTTTCACCCTTAATCTAATTGTCACGCTTTTCTAAATCCCAACTTTCATAACGCACACCCAACACCATGATATTTCTGAATAACTGAAAAACTTAATAACTGAATTGTTACCCTACATATGTCATGTTATCAATATTTTTCTACTCACTGAGAGCTGCAAATGCAGGTTTGTCCAAAATGCGAATCTGTCTGTCTTTAATAACAGGTTCACCATTTTCGTTCCCAATGTCTCGTGGCAGCAGCTCTTCTGCATATTTCTCTTCACGAATATTGCGGGGGAAATACAAGGGTAATAATCCCTTGTACACATCCTGCAACATAACAGCGATACAACGTGTCAACACAATACAGCTTATGTGGACATCAGAGGGATGTGAGTCAACCTGGAGAACGTAACATTTCATTGCCATCGTTTGTAAGAACAATGAAAGAGTGAGTATGGTTTAATGGGCTTTAAGCAATATTCCAGCAATATCACGGCAGTGGACACCAGAAATGGGCTTCACACGTTGTACCCATGTGGGAAATTGAACCTGGGTCTTCGGCGTGACGATCGAACGCTTTAACCACCAGGCTAGCCCACGGGACAATGTTATTGCGAGGTCTGTTAAGGGTAATAATCAATGTCTGATCATGCTGATGTCAAAGGGACAAGATCAGATTTACATTGGTTCCATGTGCTTTTCACAGCCAATACTAAAAAAGGGGAAAAGATGTTCACAAATTGGCAATCTCAATACACTGATTCAAATTATTCAAACACTACCTTATTTTCCTGTAATCTCATACATCAGATGTATATCAATCTAACTGCATGATTACTTAAATTACAGACACATTGCCTCAATTTAATACTAGGCACACACTATTATTTCTATACATCAGTGATGTTTATTGTCCTGAATTTAGTATTGCAATAATGATTCATGTATTGCCATATGTACCACAATATATTTCATACATTCTTTCATCTGTAATTTGTTATGAACCTGATAAAAACAACTTATTTTACAGCTTCGTAATCGTCCGCCATTTTGTTGGATGTTGCCATGATTACAACTCATGCATAAGTGACACATTATATGAAGGATGCTGGTGCAGGAAACAGGTCCTAATTTCATAATTTTTATTTGACTTGTCATTTAGGTAAACTTTTCCAACAAGACAAAGACATTCTGATTTAAAAAACCCACAAAGCACCAGAATTTTCCAAATGTATTGGGATACGTATTCAATAGTATTTCATATCCTGGTATCCCGGTAATACCACCCACCTCTACAAGACATTACAATGAAACGGACATCACTGATTTGGACTTACACCCCCAGATCCCATCTTCCTGTGGATATGCTACTGGTTTAATGATCATTTTTGATGATTTTTGGAAATATTTGAACTCACCACTGTCTCATCTGAACACACGAACACAACGGTGTCTATGTCTTCACCAAACTTCTCCAGGAAGCGTCGGGTAGTTCCTGAGGACATAAAAAAGACACAAACGGATGAGTTTTACCAATTGAAGGCACCATCCGCTGTAGAATAACCCAACCTTTACCATCAGTAACTGACACGATAGTTCCAGACAGGGATCTGGAAGCCAGTCGGTGTGCCGTACTTCTCTGATTGTAAACTTCCAATGGAACTGAGACAATTACAGATTCTATATTTTGACAAGACTCAACACTGCATGTGTCAAAGCCATGAACATCTGGTTATTCTGAGAGGTTCATGGGAAAAGAGTGAGTGAGTGAGTGAGTGAGTGAGTGAGTGAGTGAGTGAGTGAGTGAGTGAGTGAGTGAGTGAGTGAGTGAGTGAGTGAGTGAGTGAGTGAGTGAGCAACTGACACGATAGTTCCAGCCAGGGATCTGGAAGCCAGTCGGTGTGCCGTACTTCTCTGATTGTAAACTTCCAATGGAACTGAGACAATTACAGATTCTATATTTTGACAAGACTCAACACTGCATGTGTCAAAGCCATGAACATCTGGTTATTCTGAGGTTCATAGGAAAAGAGTGAGTGAGTGAGTGAGTGAGTGAGTGAGTGAGTATAGTTTTACGCCGTTTTTAGCAATATTCCAGCAACATCACGGCAGGGGACACCAGAAATTGGCTTCACACATTGTACCCATGTCGGGAATCGAACCCGGGTCTTCGGCGTGACGAGCAAACGCTTTAACCATTAGGCTACCCGACCGCCCCCCATGGGAAAGAAATACAGCTTCCTTTTGTTTTTGTCTTTTCTTTTTCTCTCAGTATATATTTAACTAATGAACTAGGTCAAGTCAAAAATACCAAAAGGCCAGGCTTTGTATATTTTTCTTATTAAAGTGTATCATAATATTTCATGATGCACAAGGCCATGTTGCGGTACTTATGATGATAAATTGTATGATTCTAAAATTTTGAATACAGAAGCAATTTGAAACACCAATGTATGAACCGGAGGTCATAAATGGAACAAAACAAGATGCTAGTACAACTTGATCATTACACCACTGCCATGCAAATCATGTGACCATGGTGACAAAACGCATTCTGACGTCAGAGCAGACTGGCCAAATGCAAGCCTTCCAGTGTGCTTTACATATTGTTTACAGAATTGTACAGATATCTTACTGCAACAATGAGGTGCATGACAATATATGTTTACACATCAAAGTGACCCCGTATCGCTAGGTCTCCGTAGGGCTTCCATGACAGCATGTGGAGCAGGCTGCCATACAACCAGCTGCCCCAGATGTTGTTGACGGAAGTGTCCACGATTATGCGAATGCACATAAGGGAGGTAACTGAGGATTAACCTCTATCTACGGTAACATGCACTTTGGAGTGAGTGAGTGAGCATGGTTTTACGCGGCTTTTAGCGGGGGGAACAAGAAATGGGCTTCACACATTGTACCCATGTCGGGTCTTCGGCGTGACTAGTGAATGCTTTAACCACTAGGCTACCCGACTGCCCCATTCACTTTGGAATTATGGAAACATTTTGAAGGTATTTGTCAAGTGAATAACATTTAAACATGATAGAAATTGCTATTTGACATCACCTGATATACCAAGCATTACAAAATGGCATTGTGATAGGTATTGTGGAAAAAATGAAGCTCAATATACCAATATACAGGTATTACCATGCACTGTGATGATTCACAGATTTTCATTAACAAGCATTAGGTTGATGACTACTTACTGATTCCGATATGAGCACCACTCTCGGATGGGTAACCCCTCTGGCTGGTGTGAATACAACAGAGGCCTAGAGTGTGTACGTTGTATTCCCTAGATAAACACAGAACGATTTGATAAACAAATACAACAGAGGCCTAGAGAGTGTGTGTTGTATTCCCTAGATAAACACAGGACAACTTGATAAACAAATACAACAGAGGCCTAGAGAGTGTATGTTGTATTCCCTAGATAAACACAGGACAACTTGATAAACAAATACAACAGAGGCCTAGAGTGTGTACGTTGTATTCACTGGATAAACACAGAATGACTTGATAAACAAATACAACAGAGGCCTAGAGAGTGTATGCTGTATTCCCTAGATAAACACAGGACAACTTGATAAACAAATACAACAGAGGCCTAGAGAGTGTATGTTGTATTCCCTAGATAAACACAGAACAACTTGATAAACAAATACAACAGATGCTTAGAGTGTTTATGTTGTATTCCCTAGATAAACACAGAACAACTGGGTACACAAATACAACAGAGGCCTTGAGAGTATATGTTGTATTCCCTAGATAAGCACAGAACAACTGGGTAAACAAATACAACAGAGGCCTTGAGAGTATATGGTGTATTCCCTAGATAAACACAGAAGAACTTGATAAACAAATACAACAGAGGCCTAGAGAGCGTATGTTGTATTCCCTAGATAAACACAGAACTGGGTAAACAAATACAACAGAGGCCTGTAGAGTATATGTTGTATTCCCTAGATAAACACAGAACAACTGGGTAAACAAATACAACAGAGGCCTTGAGAGTATATGGTGTATTCCCTAGATAAACACAGAACAACTGGGTAAACAAATACAACAGAGGCCTTGAGAGTATATGTTGTATTCCCTAGATAAACACAGAACAACTGGGTACACAAATACAACAGAGGCCTTGAGAGTATATGTTGTATTCCCTAGATAAACACAGAACAACTTGATAAACAAATACAACAGAGGCCTAGAGAGCGTATGTTGTATTCCCTAGATAAACACAGAACTGGGTAAACAAATACAACAGAGGCCTTGAGAGTATATGTTGTATTCCCTAGATAAACACAGAACAACTGGGTAAACAAATACAACAGAGGCCTTGAGAGTATATGGTGTATTCCCTAGATAAACACAGAACAACTGGGTAAACAAATACAACAGAGGCCTTGAGAGTATATGTTGTATTCCCTAGATAAACATAGAACAACTGGGTAAACAAATACAACAGAGGCCTTGAGAGTATATGGTGTATTCCCTAGATAAACACAGAAGAACTTGATAAACAAATACAACAGAGGCCTTGAGAGTATATGTTGTATTCCCTAGATAAACACAGAACAACTTGATAAACAAATACAACATGTGTCTGGCATGTGTTTTTGAATGTGTATCAGATAAAAAACATGACAAAGAAGGTTTTGAGAAGGAAAAATGGATTTGTGTGGCCAATTGTTTTTTTAACATTTCCTTTATTAGCTACAACTTCAAAGCAAAGATAATAATAACACTCTGTCGAAGTTCTAAAGTAGACAGTCACCTGCACAGCTGTAGCGTGTTCCTGTAGCTGCTGTAGAGGGCGCTCTCCGCCGCCGTCACATACTTGATGTTGAACCTGGGGCCAACAGTATGGATGACGTGCCGTGCAGGAAGGTTGTGGCCTTTTGTAATCTTCGCCTCTCCTGTCTTGCAAACTGTGGAGACGAGAAGGTGACAGGACAGCAGTTATATCACAGGTGAGTGAGTGAGTGAGTATGATCTGATGCTGCTTTCAGCAATATTCCAGCAATATTGAGACAGGAAAGATCAGAAATGGACTTCACACAATGTACCCATGACGAGCAACACTTCGCAACCCTACCACACTGATAATGTCATGAACAATGATGACAGATATCAATATATATAAAAGGTACAATATCTGATTTGCATTTTTTTTTTTTCTACAGTCTGTGTGATGTTTTTTTTTATAGAATTCTGAGTAGTATATTTGTCGACACTGATTGTCTAAATTGTATTAGTATTACGGAGTGTGGAGGGTACCACACTCTCCCCCTGACGCTACCTTCCATGCTCCACCTGCGCCCTACCTTCCACGCTCCCCCTGCACCCTACCCCTCCACGCTCCCCCTGTGCCCTACCCCTCTACACTCCCCCTGCCCCTACCCCTCCACGCTCCCCCTGTGCCCTACCCCTCTACACTCCCCCTGCCCCTACCCCTCCACGCTCCCCCTGTGCCCTACCCCTCTACTCTCCCCCTGCCCCTACCCCTCTACACTCCCTCTGCCCATATCCCTCCACACTCCCCCTGCACCCCGTTAAACCATGGATGGAAGATGGAAACAAATGCTCCCATGTGTGATGATTTGGCTAAGATGCAAGAATACTTGTAGCCATGGCAACAGTTTCAAACAACTGACGTGAAACTGCTCATCATGATGACAACAACCACATGACAGTTAATAATTTCACAATGTGCATAATGACACATATTTCCACCACTAAGCTTTGACTTACCTCTTATATTATTTTGTACTTCCTTATACAGTTCAGGTCCGGCCTTCTTAAATATTGCTTCACTTTCAGTACTTTTATCATTCAGGTGCTCATTTGTTGTGTGGACAATAGCATGAACATTTAGCCTTGTTAAATCTCCATTCCTGAAACAATCCAAGTCAAAAGGTCAGGTTTGTTGGTTTGTCGTTTAACGCCGCACCAGCTATATGACAGCGGTCTGTAGTGACTGAGTGAGTGAGTTGGGTTTAACGCCACTTTTAATAGTATTCCAGTTATATCATGGCTTGTCAGCTTAATGTGGGAGGAAAGCCTGAAGTGATGCAGGTCTCTGACGTTTACCACCTCGGTGAAACCCACGAGCATGGGTATGGTGCTCAGGAAACATAATCGGGACAAACCGTGATTCGAACCACAGTCATAGGTTTCTGGCGTGCCCAAGGGACGCAACTTTGCACAGCGAATTGTGGCGCCTTAGATGACTGGGCCACCCGTGCCCCCAAACGGTGGTCTGTAAATAATTGAGTCTGGCCAGATAATCCAGTGATTGACATCATGAGCATCGATCCACGCAATGGGGATACGATGACATGCATCAACTAAGTCAGCGAGCCTGACCACCCGATCCGGAAAGTCGCCTCTTACGACAAGCACAGTTGCCTTTTACGGCAAGCATGGGTTGCTGAAGACCTATTCTACCCCTATTCTTCACGGGTCTCAGGTACAAATACCCTGAGTGGACATTGGTGGGAAGATGGCAGAAAAGAGTGAATGGGTTGGTGAGTGAGTGAGTGAGTATGGTTTCAAGCTGCTTTTAGCAATATTCCAGCAATGTCCTGACTGGCGAACACTAGAAATGGGTTTCACACATTGTACCCATGTGGGAATTGAACCTGGACCTTTGGTGTGATGAGCGATTGCTTTAACCACTATCCTACCCCAAAGCCAGTGCAGGTAGGAAAAAGCAGTATGCAAGAGGACACACATCTAGAAGAATACATGTAGTAGTACCAGGGTTGTGAGAATGCATACAGTTTATTTAATTATACAATACATGCTACACATGCATCACAGATTTCCCACATGTATGGAAGCCATGTTAGAATAGGTCCCCAGCAACCTCTGTGAGTCGTACGAGGCGACAACATGCATCGAATGGACAGGCTTGGTGACTCGTTTGATTGCAGGACTCGATTTCAGGAACTTGGTTCAACTTACACCATGTGCATGTTGACATGAAAACTTGTTGCACCAGACTCAACCATGTTGCACCAGACTCAACCATGTTGCACCAGAAAAAACCATGTTGCACCAGACTAAAGCATGTTGCACCAGACTAAAGCATGTTGCACCAGACAAAACCATGTTGCAGCAGACAAAACCATGTTACACCAGAAAAAAACATGTTGCACCAGACTAACCATGTTGCACCAGACTCAACCATGTTGCACCAGACAAAACCATGTTGCAGCAGACAAAACCATGTTACACCAGACTAAACCATGTTGCCCTTGACAAAACCATGTTGTCCTTGACAAAACCATGTTGCAGCTGACTAAACAAAGTTGCACCTAGGTCCCATAAATTTATCAAAGTTGAAACATAAATGCATAAACTAGTCATGAATAATATAGTTCGCTAAATAAAGCTTAGATTTACCGAGTGTGGACAAGTAAGGGTTAATCAAACAACCGAGTCAAACACTTGGGGCATGTACTGATGTAGACATAAAAAGTTGGTTGCAATTTTCAACAAGAGGTTGCACTGGTGCATGTTTTATATAGCTAAATCAAGTCCTGGATTGGGAGTCTTCGTGCCCAGTTGAATTGGATTGCTGCTCACAACATCAATCACTGTACTGTCTGGTCCAGATTCTAGTAGTTACAAGATTCCATCATATAGCTGGAATATTGCTGAGTGCAGCATTAAACAACAAACAAAAAAACTCATACAATAACTCTACAAAAATGACACGTGTAATTGCATGCAAGATGTAACTTAATGATAATATCCATCCCGCCCCGTAAACAAAGAGGTTTTATGTATAGGATAAAACACGTCCGATGGTTGTTATGATACTTAAAACCCGCATCCCGAGGGATTTACCGAGGGAAAGGGTTTTAAATATCATAACAACCCGAGGGGAAGTGTTTTATCTTACTTATAAACCAATTTTGAACCTTAAAATTATGCCCAAACTAAATTTCAACCCATTATAAGTGTACAATAAAGCAGGTCCAAGGGTTCTTATCACATTTAAAACAAGCATCCCAAGGATAACGGTTTTAGATATATGCATAAAAACCCGAGGGGAATTGTTTTATCATCTTTTTCGAAGGCATGAATGGCAGTAACATATTTTACGCCAGTTTCCTAAGGTTCATGGAAAGTATGTTCGAAATGTTGATAAATGTTCTATTAAGTTTCACTTTTCATTTGATAAGAAGATAAAAAACTAAGTCTCAGGTCTTTATGAGATTAAAAACCCTCATCCTCAGGATAAAACCTTGAGGCTGACGCCCTTTGGTGTTATCCCTTCTTGGATTCGGTTTATAAATCTCATAAAAACCCTCTGACATGTTTTATCCTACACATATTCACAGGTGGTTGTTCACCACCAGGTCTACTTCGTTAAATCAGAACAAAGAGAAGCGTTGTATGTGTCATCTCACCATAGAATAATCTTGGCATTCAAGTCATTTCGCCATGGAAATGGAGAGCTTCGTTCATCTTCTCCGTTACTTCTTTCACCATATTCTGGCAGCTGAGTCAGATTCCAGCGTGTCAGTTCTTCAACAGTAATAATGTCGTCTCTTGCGCCCAAAGGATCCATAACTTTTTCAAAGGTGTGTGCCAAGGATGAAAGCTGGCTGGACAGTTATATCATCTCACAGTTGCTTTGCTTAGACAAATACTACAGTGGTACATATTTCGTTAACCAGTAACCATGGTGACCTGAAGCGAGAAATGGTTAATATCAAGCGTCTGTTGTGACATGTGACATTTAATGAAAACGTGCTGAATGTTAAACAGGGTTTGACTTGAAGTGATTGACAACATGAACATAGATCTAAACATATGGGATCGATGACATGCATCAACCAAGTTAGCGAGTCCGACCACCCAATCCTGATAGTCACCTCATACGACAAGCATATTCGACATGCACCTGACTATCGCAGGTGTAGTAGTATATGTATATTATTATGCAAAACAAAAACAGTATGTAAATTTAATTAACAGTACCTGAAATATTTCCAAAATAGTATATCTCTCATAGTTACCAAACAGAGTGGGTTTGAGTGAATCCCAAAATGTAAAAGATTATTTTGAAAACGTAAAGCTTGTGTGCCATGTGGTGCTTATACTAGTCCGCACTAATGCCGATTTATAGTGCTAGCCCACTGAGATACCATGCCGCAGGTTAACATGACATATACCCCTTTCAGACACAGTATACTGACTCTGAAGCGACCAGTCCTTGGTTGGGCCCCTTTAAGGGGCACTGATCTAAAGCAATTCCCCGGAACTGGTTGTTGCCTTTGTTATTGTTTTTTCCCTGTGAGTACCCGGATGATATCGCAGAAATCTAGACTAGTTCTCAACCTGTGCTGCGCAATTCGTAAGCACATTTGTCACTTTTATTGATAGTATAAGGGCGTATGGTCACTTAGGAAATATATTAAACGCTTAAATATTCAGTTATTTTACAAATTGACTGAAAAATATGTCCATCTGTATTATTATAACAACGAATTCCAAACATTTTATGTTTAATATCATCACCAAGAGATTGAAAATGTTACGACGAAACGTACATTTCTCAATTGTTTGGCTTGTAATTCTACATAATAATCTATTGTGATATTTTTACGCCCTTTTGATGGTCTTAATCATGTACAGTCAATCTGTTAAATAAATGGACAGATTTTTCAGTCAAAATGACTGAAATATTTTCACATTTTATAAATTGCCTGAGAGAATCACATTTTACAAATTGGCTGTAATATATACACGCTTACAAAGGAAAACAAGGTCTATCGCACATCAAAGAATTTCCCAACTATGACAAAAATGAGTCTGTTCATGCTACATTAAATGAATAAAAACAAAATGCATATGTCATAATTACAACCTAACAAATTTATGTGTATCATTTTAGGCAGCTTCCTTGTTCAAGGAACAATATCTCACCCGTCTGCAGCTGTACAAAGAAACTTATTCAATGTTACGTGTCTCTGTAACAATCAAATATTTTATAATATATATATAACGTTTTGGGATATTGTAACCCGTGTTCGTTTCTCAACTGATCCCTCAGATTGTTTCAGGGACAACTATTTTCATAACATCCACGGTTCCTAAAATAATCCATTGAGTTAGATAACAATGAACAATCAATCAATGTATTATCGGTTAACCCTTTGAACAAAGTATGTTGTTTTCACATCGGCACTTCACGCCATGATATGAGTGTATTCCCTTTGATTTAGTAAACCTAGACATGTAAACACTCACTTTTGACATAGCCATCAATCAATCAATGTATTTTCTGTTAATCCTTTGATGACTAGGAACGATCCCTTGATTTACAAAAAGGTAAATCAACTGATCATTCATCTCTTGCTGGGCTGCCACGTGCATATTACATAACACACATTTCACCTCACTTCAAACCTGGATTTAGATTTAATAATTACCCCAGACACAATAAATGGCAAATGGGAACCTTTGTCAGGTAATCTGAGTGGTGCTACCACTAATTATACCTGTAATATATTCATTAACTGAGCATCAAGTGAATGATGACAAACACACAAGTGAAGAATTATACCAGAAAACGTGGATGACAACAAGGGAGTAGTAATTGTATTATCGATGCAATACGAAATCCGAAAATGCTTTCACTGCATGGATACTTTTTATTATTATTAAAATATAACAATCAGGGGTATTTCCAAATGACGATATCCGATGAACTCCGCCGTTCTTTTTGTCTGTTTGTTTACGCTGAAGAAATTAATTAACATGCGCCCTTTGTCAAAATCTTTATACCAAACAGTGTTCAAAAATGTGTAAGACGAATATTGCCTCCCAGTTTATTTAGATGTCCTTGCAGATGGTAGCCCAGTCTCTTGTTACGCTCAGTTGTGTTGCGTATCATCCGGGTACTCACAGGGAAAAAACAATAACAAAGGCACCAACCAGTCCCGGGGAATTGCTTTAGATCAGTGCCCCTTAAATGCCGTGCACCAGACAGTGCAACAAGAAGTACCACCTCTTAACATCTCTTGGTATGACGCGGCCGGGGATTGAACACCAGAAAAAGCTTCAGAACAATCGACCTCCTGTCCCTTTAATATGATGTGGCAAAAATGTAAGAATATTAGTTTTCTAGTATACTGATATAAATGGTCTCTGTTAAACTGCATTTGAAATGGTATTGGGACGAGCTCATCTAAATGTCTGAACATGCTGAAAACTGTATGACCTTATATGTAAATATCACAATGTCTAGCTGCTCAGAAAAAATGACATCAGAAAATATCAGCTTACTTGTCACATTTAGATTTTGTTCATAGGTATCGCTTAATCTTGCTTCGATCTAATTGTTTAGCGTCACACGAATCTCAATACTGAGCAGTTAGAATAGAATCAATTGTTACCGAAGAAAAGCAATGACGCTATATGAGTTGTGAAAACGATATTGGTTATTCTTGAGCGACATCTTTCTCAGTGGACGACTGTGAACCACATCCAAAGCTTATGTCAAAGAGGAAGTGCTACTGACTACCGTGGTTGGAAGCCCTACTTCTTAACCCGTCACTGCATTTTCCCCACGGAATCGCCTAAAACAGCATTGGAAACCAAATAAAGAATACTTCACAACAAACATACTTAAGACCTGTGTGATGCCAAACCTTTCAATGCAATATGTGCGCTGACAGCTAATATTAATGAGTTAGAAAACAGTCTTCGATTCAGTCGCACAGCTCGCGTGAGTCCGCCATTTTGTTCAGTCATGTGACTTTATAAACAATAATAAACTCGCCTGAAAAGGGGTGTTGCAATTTTAAATGATATAAATGATAACATTTATGACAAACGAATCTAAAGGCTAAAACTAAACGTACGTCCACTTCTTGCAGAGTGTTCTTCTCCTTGTCCAATAAATATTGATCCCTGTGAGAAATGGACTTGCCAAGGGAAGTAACTCGTATTTCGTAGCTCCAGCCACGCCAGTGGCACCTTAAAGGGGCACTCATCTGAAATACGTGATTTTAATCTCAATAAAATCCTTCCATCTTTAAGAACAAAACATAAATTTGACCATCTGTTGACTCTCAGAGCTGATGTCCAATGCTCTTCTGCCTCCTATGTTTCATTATGCACACTGGGATTACAGAGGGTCAACTGTGTGGTGTGGGGTGAGGGTGTGTCTGGCGGGCCTTAAACAGAAGAGGATTTGTCTGACAATGGGTATTTTGTAATAAGTAGAGTGTAATAGTTCATTTTATGTTGGTTCCATGTGATACCTCCAATGTTTAAGCCTTATGCAGAGGAAGATTTGTCTGGTGTGGCCCATTCTGTACTCTGTGATATGAACCTGTTCATTTAAACTTACCTTAATGTGGTACAATCGATATATATTCCAGACCAATTTTACCCGTGTATACCTGAAAGGTCAACTTTTTGTGGGTGTCTGGCGGGCCTTATGCAGAAGATGATTTGTCTGGCAATGGGTATTGTGCAATAAGTAGAGTGCAATTGTTAATTTTATGTTGGTTTTATGTGGTACCTCCAATGTTTAACCCAGCCCAAATTTTGGGACCCTCTCTGGGGGTTCTGGCGGACCTTATGCAGAGGAAAAGTTGTCAGGTATGGGCCGTGTTGTACTCAGTAACATGTACCTGTTCATCTAATCTTACTTTCATCTGGTAATTTGAATGTATACTCTAGTCAAATTTTACCAGAGTGTCCACTGAGTGCATTAAAGGTCAACATTTGGGGGTGTCTGGCGGGCCCTTTTGCAGCAGACGATTTGTCTGGCAATGGGTATTTTATACTTAGTAGAGTGTAATAGTTCATTTTATGCTGATTTCATGTGGTACCTCCATTGTTTAACCCAGCCCAAATTTTGGGACCCTCTCTGGGGGTGTCTGGCAGGCCTTATGCAGAGGAAGATTTGTCTGGCGTGGCCCATTCTGTACTCTGTGAGATGAACCAGTTCATTTACACTTACTTTCATGTGGTACCTCCAATGTTTGATCCAGCCCTTGAATGGTCCCTTCTTTTTTTTTTTTTTTGGGGGGGGGGGGGGGGCAGCAGGGGCTCCCCATAGACATCCATATATGAATATGTTGGGTTACACAGTAAATGTTCCTGTGTTCGGATATTGGTACCTTGTTCGTTTGACCAAAGTGCTCTAGGCTGCCGGTCTAATACAGCGCCGAAAACCCCAAACACGTCATCACTCGGTAGATCTACATCACATTGGGACCAGGAAGTTCCTTCGTTCACTAACGGGATCGGGTGGTCAGGCTCGTTGACTTGGTTTGAAGCATGTCATCGATCCAAATTGCGTGGATCGATGCTCCTAATATCCATCACTGGATTGTCTGGTCCAGACTGGATTATTTACAGACCGCCGTCATATAGCTGGAATATTGCTGAGTGCGGCGTAAAACAACCAACCAACCAAACCAATCCTTCGTACACAAGAAATCAATCACCTGAGTTCCATATTTCTTGTTGCTGGAACACTATAGTGTTTGAAGCTGCAATAAAATACCGCGATGGCTTCGATACACAGATCCACAAAGCAGCGGTGTCTCACTCGATATCAGAGTGTGACGTCCTTTGAGAATTGGCGCCAGCATTTATTATACATTTTGTCCCCAGATGAGAACTTTCCTCAATTTTGGATAGACAGTGATGCATGCTGACTGCGACTATCACAGTACTGACATGGAAGCAGCTAATGCACCCCGAGTTGACAACACCCTTTGCATCCCAAAATACTGAGGAAATAACGTTCTTAACTGATCTTGAAGACTTGAATTTCTTTGGTGTGGGAAGTGGAATGGTGCCATTCCATGGATTGACGTTTTAACTTGGGATCATAGTGGTAGACCCATGTTTCATCACTGGTTACTAATCTCTTTTTGAATTTAACGAAGTCCTCCTCTAAATTTTCTCTGGCAACGTAGATTCTTTTTTCTTTATTATTTTAAAATTGTATACAACAAACTATATCCTGATACCAGACTAGTTCACAGGTTGTCCTGATGTAGAAAGCAACGACAGCAAACAGTGCAGTGGGTTGACAGAGGTACCGGTTTCTGAGATCAGAAGTGATATTTCCCGCTTGTGTTTCGGGTTTGACTTTCGAATAACTGTTGGATAAGTTGACGTATTTTATGTAGTGAGTGAGTTGACGTATTTTATGTAGTGAGTGAGTGAGTGAGTGAATGGGTGAGTGAGTGAGTGAGTGAGTGAGTGAGTGTGGTTTTACACCGCTTTTGGCAAGCAGAATTGCGCTCGTACAAAGAGCAGCCTCGACTGTACCTAAAACGTTGTGAAATGCGGACACCAAAGGCTGGAGCTTATGTAACCATCTAGTGTGTCTTGTTTCATCAAAGAGGGTAGGTGAACAAAGTAAAATTGATTTCAAGTGCCAAGAATTGCTTTAATTGCACACATTACCAGTGTTTGAAAGAAACCAAAGATACATTTGTCTACATATAACTTACTGGCTTAGGGACCGACCATTTGATATTCTGGTGTGTGTGTGTGTGTGTTGAGGTTTTTGTGCTTGGATTTTGTCGGGAGATTCGAAATATTTTCAGGTACGTCTGCAAAACCAAAAAACATATTTTTTAATTAAAGCTATGGACTATTTAAGAAAAACACCTCGCAACAATGTAGTTGGCAGTAGAATGCCTAATTAATGTTCACCAGTGTGAACAATTTATTTGTTTCGATTTATTTGTCGCGCCCCCCCTCCCCTCACACACAGAGAAAATGGTCGGTCCCTTAGATCAACTAAATACCTTACTAAAAGACTTATCCTTAGACAATTTCCAATGTCAAGGGAAATGCCACGTGTACAACGTCAGCATCAATTTGGGGGCAATTACGGTCAAGGGACACTTAAGAATTACAAATAGTGAATTGTTAACATCCTCCAAATTCCAAGTGACCTTCATCTGCATGTTTCACAATACGACTTTGACCTTAGAGGGCACCCAATAGTGGATTTGATGAAAACTCCGTTCTAGAGATCATGTATACCAAGTTTTGTCACATTCTAATTGTAAATATTCAAGTTATCGGGTACATAAGCTTTTACTGTATGGGAAGTGTATTAGCTTTGAAGTCTCAAATATCTGCCATGTACGCATAAACCAATTTCGGTGGCGGCGCACCCCCTCTCCAGCTTAACAGGGGCTACTTAGTTACTGCTGAACGATGGGACTTCAGAACGTAAATGATAGTTTGGAGACAGGAATACTTTTGTGGCAGGAAATACAATGTTTGACAGATATGTTAGCCTTAGCCACCGAGTGTCATCATGTCATACACACGGGCATGGTAAGTTGTGAGCGTTGAATGTTGTCTGTCGTTTACCACAACTCTGAAAAGAAACAAAGAAACAATTATTCATGATGCCATTTCATTATAGGACCCTTGTCAAAATAGTCCACCAGCAGAACCAGGTTTGTTTGTATGTCATCAACCCCCGGCTTGTGTCGAATTTTGAGTTACCAAATGAATACTTTTATGCTATGCCAAAGAAATGGGGGATAGTTGGAATCATCAGAACATACCTATCTTCTGATATCTTTTGATCTATATGGCAAGGTGGCGGATTAGGTTGTAAAAAAGGTCGGTCGTCAAATTCGAAATTTGCATTTTGCAACCAAGGTTACTAATATCGGGTAATGTGCACGAATTCTTGGATGCGTCGACCAATGACAGCTTCAGTCGTGTTGGTCCACTCATCAGTGAGAGCAATCCAAAGTTGTTTGATATTGGTAGGTGGATTTTGACGTTGACGAGCAAGTCTGCCAACGACGTCCTAGACGTGTTCAATGGAGGAAAGGTAATGACGGAGTGATGACCATAGCATGACATGAATGTTTTGCTGTTGGAGGAATTGAGTCACCATCCTGGCACGATGGACACATGTATTATCATCTTGACTGATGAAACGTTGCCCCACAAGTTGTGCAAATGGCACCGCGAGTAATACAATGATGTTGTCCCGATAGTATTAACCTGTGTCTCTGCCTTGAACAATATGGAGCGCAGATATAATGGATCCACCCCAAACACGATCATGACGGAAGTCGAGAGTGAACCCCGATTCGTCAGAAAACAAGACATTAGCATAACGTCGATTATCCCGGTGCTGACGTTCCCTACACAACTGACGCATCTGATTCAAATGACGTACAGTAAGTGGTGGGATGACGCGTGGCCGTCGTACACACAAATTCTATCTGTGCAGACGATTTCCGTCTGGGCATGTACACTTCCATCAGTTGCCTTGTTGCAACCGATCCCTTATTTGAGTGGCAGTTTGTAACCAATTTGTTAACGCCATCGTTTTGACTAATCAGTCCTGGGCTGGAGCTGTTGTCTATGGGCGTCCTTAGCAGCGATCATCGACGTTATGTGTTTGTTGGTATCGGATCCACAATCCGCTGATGTTCTGACATGTGACCATTTGCAACATGCCTATGGCACATTTTGTTTGTTTGTCTTTTTTTATAAACCCCCTTCAGCAATATTCCAGCTGTAAATAATGGATTCGACCAGACAACCCAGTGATTGACATCATAAGATGGGTTGCTGAAGACCTATTCTCTTTGCTCAATGCTATTGCTTCCTTGGTAATTAAATGTGTTTAAAAAAGTGTATTTGAACGTTCGGCTCCCATAAAAAACGTGTGTCTGCTCACAACCGAGTCTGAGTGACAATGGTAAATTTGGCATACCACCCCTTGCAGTTGC